CCCCCCTATGTGTACTCTTATGATTAGTATTACATTAGTAGATTAAAATTATCATAGGTAATACTACAAGTGCTACAAGGTTATTGATTTTAATACATATATTAAAAATTAGATTAAAAAAAGGTTTTTCCGTACATCTTACCCATAGAGTAAGGTTCATATGTGAAGATTCTAAAATTCATTTTAACACCAAAGATATGCATATCATTATCAACCATAGTCAACCTAGCTTTCAATAGGATGTATCATGTCATTAATTCATTTTAGTTAATTTATAAGGGGTTATGTCATATTAATCAGGCTAACAGTAAAAAAAAAATTCTTGCAATTTAAAGTGTGCAAAATAAAGTCAAATTTTATTATTTGCCCTTGTCCTCTTGATCATATTCTGAGATTTTGTGTCATGATTCTTTGTGGTTGATAAGTTATGTGTTGGTAGGAAATCGTTGTTGGTGTTTGTTAAAATAACAATAATTAAATGAAATTCAATTAAAAATAATTAATTGGAACTTCCATTTTCTAAAAAAAATTTCATCTATCTGATCTCTACAATATTTGCGCTTATGAAATTATCTATACAATTATTGCACTTGTGGAAACTGTTCAAAGAATTGGTTGTCTTGGTAGCTTAGTGGTCAGTGCAGTTGGGTGTAAACTAGAAGTCCTAGTCCCAACCTGGTTTGAATCCTGGTCGGGCGACCTATTCTTTGAACAAATTGAATTATGCTCTATCTGGTTACAAGGACCTGTGGTGGGTAAGTGGTAGGGTGCTGACTTCCTAAACTGATGGACCCAGGTTTGAATCCCGACTTGTGTGAGGATTTTTATCTGGTTTCCATTCAGGGCGGCTCTGAGGTCAACTCAGCCTTCTTTCCAAGTGAGTACCTGGGTGGTTTCCTGGGAGTAAGCTGGAGCTTTTTCACAACCTATTCCTTGTGGGGATGGTGATGGGAGCCTGGGGATGGTGATGGGAGCCCTACCTTCAGCTCCCATGTGGGCCACAACTCGACGTGTGGTGCAAATGCATAGGGACTATGTAGTCTTTTTGTGACATGAATGTCTGTTTGATGATTCTGGCATCATCTTTGTTATCTGAGGATGACTGTTGTGGTAAAGAAATGCATATATCATTAAAAAAAAATTGATTTAAAAATTAACTGGCAAAGAAAACATAGCAACAACAAAACCAAAAACTGAAAGCAAAGATTACATGCAGAAATATGACATAGAACTATTTGATGTTGTTTAGTAGATTATGATAAAATAATGATTTTCAAAACTTTGTACGTAATTGTAACATTTGTGCAAGTTTTGATTGTTTATAATATAAAAGGACAGAGGATTGTATGTATTAACTCGAATAACGTGTCATTCGATAGAATCTTTCACGTAATGTTTTATTGTAAATTTTTTATATTTGAACTGCACGTTGTTCTTAAAAGACTACTCTATCAAATAGCACAGAAAAATTCATATAACTAGGAAATTGACTATTTCTGTGAGATTTTGAAGGTTGAGGGAATGTTACAATGAATGTGCTTTTGAGAATTACCCTACAATAAATAGTCAGTAGAACTGTAATTAAACTTAAAGATTTTTTTCTTGATACAGTATTTTGGGGTGAAGCTGGAATTTGTGTTTGTAAAATACTTTTTTAATAGTATACTAATCAAAGATAACAAATTGCAACATGCTTTTTTTAATCACAAAGAACACACCAAATGGTGTTGGAGGTATTGACAAAAGATTAAGACTCATTTATGATGCATTTACATGCAGCAATAAAATATTAAATGTTTTTCAGATGTGATATTAATGTTTGAGCTATTTTGAAAGCAAGATCTGAATTGCTGTTACTCTTAAGCATAAGTAGTTGTTACAATTGCCATAAGCAGTTTGCTGAATAGGAAACAAAGTACAAATATAAAAACTAAAAGAAACAGTACATGTAAATATTAGAACAAAATATTTGTAATTGAAACATACAAACAAAAAAATAAAGTAAAAACAGACTAGTATGAAAACAGAGGAATTTTTCCCTTCCCTTCCCTTCTCTTCTTCATATCACTTCACCTCACTGCATGTTGCTTCAGTACTCAGAAATTTTACAATAATGGTAAGTACTTATACCATACTTTGCCTGCATTTTAGATGCCTTTTCCTTGTTCTGAAAAATTTCACTGTACTTCACTGCGCTCTACCCTCACTTATTTGAGAACTTGTTCATTGGTTGCTCCTACTTAAGCAACATGGTATTTCAAGTCTTTCACTGAGAATTTTCCATGCAAATTGCTTTGAGTATGCCTTGGAAGGGGGTTCATAGCTGTGTTGCCTTTGTATCTATAACTAATGATTTCCAATTGACATTCACCCTGTTGTTTTTGTTTGTGAATTTAATCACGGTTTATAGCTTTAATCTGATCTTCCCTTTAAAGATCTTAACTCGGCACTCCAGATTCTATTAAGGGACGAATCAAGGAAGTGTAAGCCCTCAATTAATTATACAAGTGCAATACGATTGCCTTTATCTTGCATAGTAAAACATTCTTTTTAATTACCTCAATCTCTCCAAAAAGTGGGAGAAAGTTTCAATAATAGGACTGATAAAGACATAGCCTAGAGAATTGACCTACCAATTGAAAGGAAAAGTTTTAATGGAAAACTCCAATTCAGTGTTTTTTATAATGTTGATGTAGCAACAGGGTTTCCCTAATCAATCGGGTGAATGCCAAAGCAATACACTGTCAAATACTCTCCCTAACAGCATGCAATCTTTCCTCATTCATTTCTATGGCATGCTCTCCTCACATCAGCACTACCACACTCAAACACCAACTTATGTGTCCAAGTGATTTTTTCCCCAACATGTCGGGAGGCAAGTCGAAAGCATAGATCATGTCCTAGTTGGGAGGGGGATACCTAGAGGACAGAATCCTCTGCAAGCAGACATGTAGGTCAGATATCAAGTTCCAATGGGGAAGGAAAGCTGCTACCTCCTGGGTTATAACAAGGGGAGATTCACATAATAAAAATAGCAAAATATATACACATATGTGTGTATATATAAGAAAAAATGAATGAAAGCGAATTCAAAATGTATTAAAAGGTTTAAAGTTCCTCCATATAAGCATTCAAATTTTCAAACACATAATGCCAGTGATGAGGACTTAAAATGGATTCAGAGCATCTGTGAAAAGGTTTAGATTACAGCAATAACTGGAGGAGCATCCTCAATATTCTTTACTCACCAGACCATAAAGAGTTTTATTGAAATATAAAAAATGTACGTAGTATAGACAAAGTTCTTTCTGAGGAGCTGGTGTGTGCGTGAGCTGTAATACAGTGAACGCATGCTGGATTCCAGAGAGAAGGGAAAGGGAATATGTGCACCCCTCCTCCCCATCAAACAATGCAATAAGACAATCAGTCAAAGTTGTTGAGATTGTTTTTGAAATTACTTCTGATTCGCAAATGTTGTTGATTGTAAGTACGTTATTTCCAAGGAGCGAAGCGAGATGCAGTTTGTGTGGGTAGGGTGACAATTCGTGGTTAAGATCTGGGAAGGCTGAGGTCATAGAAGTCCTTCATTACTTTGCTTTTTAAGAAAAATGATTCCAATAAGATTATATTTGCGAACTCAAGTAAGAAATCTTCTGGTTTGATGTATAAATATTCTTACATGTAATGAAATATGTAACAGGTAGTAATAGGTAAAATATGTAATTATGTAAAAATATGTAAAATAAAAATGGTTCTAATTCTCTCATAATATTTTGATGGCTCTGTAAAATATTTTTGATTGCAGGTATCATGTTCAGGTACAAATAAATTAAAATCTGTTCCCCCATTATAATATTCTCTGTACATACCTATTTTTTGAATGTTCATGCAAAAGAAAGTGCTCGCACAACATTTGAGCTGCTCAAATACACTAGAAAAATTTTTAAAAAACAATATAGGTGGTGTGCAACTTTTCTTTATGGTGCAATAGCTGGAAGATAGTGCAATCCTTTACGTAGTAAAGCTCTGACTTCACTCTACTTGAACTTTTATTGCTCAAAAGAAATACATCCCTTGTTGTGGTCTACACAGCTGAAGTGTTCATAATGAAACTAGTCCTGTAAAGTTAAACTAAAGAAGTCTTATCTGTGGAATAAAACCTATTGAGCAGAATTTTCACTTGGACCTTTTTCTTGACATTTTTTAAAAGGGATTAAAAGTTTATATTTATTTCACTTGTGCATTTCAAAATATTGTAGATGAACAGTCATGAAAAATTGTTTTTTGCAAATTTCCTACTTCCTATTAATTTTATATTAAATAACTTTATTATAAGAATTTTTTCTGTGGCTAAAGGTTTTTGCAATATTTAAAGTTACAAATAACAAAAAGAAAATCATTTTTCATTAGTATATCAATTTCTGCACATTGTATGACGAATTTGATTCACACCAAACTTTTAGAAAATGTTCGTTTACATAAAAATTATTTATTTTTCAATGATGCTGTTCTTAATGATTTATAATGATTATTTATGATTTCATATTAAAATATAGAAGCTTGTAAATAAATAGAAGTTTATTAATAATATATGAGAAAATAATGCATAAAAACAATAAAATTAAATGATTTTTGGAAATTGAAATATACACAAAAATAAAATTAACTTTCAGTGTGCAAGGGCAGCTGAAATTTGTTGTGCACTTTTGTGCTCTTGTACTTTGGGTTAAGAAAATCTATTGTTAGTGGAGGTTCCTCGCAAAGCAAGAAAATAAAATAAGCATATTAGAAATACAACAAGCCATGGATTTCATTTTCATCTTTGCAGGAGGAAGAACATCTACAATTTAAATGATCTATGTATTTACCAACTGCCGAAAACATATTGCTGCAAGAGTTCACATCCTCAATTGTTGGAAACAAATAAATTTACAACCAAATTAGAAAAATAAATGTTTGTAAATTACGTTTTATAATTATGAACTTCCTCAGATGAATTAAATTTAATAATATGAAATAAATACACTAATATGCATTTGCCCAGGGGAGAACTGCCATTCTGAGGGTGTGGGTGGGGGGCAGGCTCACTCTGATCCCTTAGTTATGCTTACTATACATTGACAACTTTTTTTAGGTGAAAGCAACATTCTCTTTAGTTTGTCTACAGTCAGTTGGTTAATGAGAATGTTTTTGTGGTTTTCCAGAGTGGACCCAAACCCTGAACAAATTTCTGAAGGATCAATTGGGGAAGCTGCAAGATTATTATCATCACAGTAACAGTGGAGGTGGCAGCAGTACTGCTGGATCAACACCAGGTGGCAGCTCGCATGGGGGAGCTGTGCCTTCACCGGCCTCACAAACTGGTCAAGGCAATTCTTCCTTGAATTCCTCACTGCCAGCAATGACTGAAGAACAAAAGTTGGCTCAGAAGCAATGGACATATTGCATTCAATTGGCCAAGTACCTGTATGAGGTGAATGTTATGTTGTAAAATGTAGTTATGCAGTAAAATTCCATTGTTGATATTTTGGTGAGAGACATCAAAATAGGAATTTGCAATCAATTGTTGTGAAGAACAGATTTTCTGTTTATCGGAAGAAGGATTGATTATCTGTAAGATTTTATTAAATATATTTCCATTTCGGAAGAAGAGGACACTTTATTTAAATGTTTTAATATAATAATTTATTTTTCTTAAAGACTAAATACTACTGCCAAAATAAATACTTCAATCATTGTCATCAACTTCAAAATCATATTATAGGCCTACTGTACAGTCTTTTCCACTTTTATACCAGAAGTATTTGTTGGATGATGAAACCTCCTTTAACAATTAGAACTTTGTTTTTCTTTGCTTTGAACCTTGCAACAAATGATTTGAACTGTTTTAAAGTATATCATTAAACAAGGCTTTTCTTTTTAGCATTCTGCTCAAAATACAAACACCATAGAGCAGTATCGTACTCCGATTAAAACAAGAAGTCTTTCACAGTGACAAGCTGGCAGGAGAGCAGAACTCTGTCATTGAAGCGAGCTTCGTTATGACTTTAATTTTTTTGGTTTTGAAGCTCCACCTCTCTTTTTTCAGCCTGTGATCTTGAAAGGACACTGTGTTTTAATCGAAGTACACCTCTATAGGCCAGCTGAACAGAATCTACTGTATAACCGGCACCAGTATTCAATACATTGTACAATATTTTGTACCAGCTGATGAGGTTGCATTTAAAAGTAACAGCCAATATATTAGGTTGTATTTAAAAGTAATAGTCGCTTTCCAATAAAAAGGGGACATTTCGCCCTTTCTTATGAAATCCACCTGGACAGTTTTTCCTACTTCAAAAAGAGGACATGTCCAGGAAAAGAGGATGTATGGTACCCTATTTACATAGCCTTACACACAACTGATTTGATGTCTTCGATTTTTTCTTGTGATTTCTTTTTCTTTGAAATAGTAAGATTTTCGAGTCACTATATGAGTCAATGAAGAGTTGTGAGATATATTCGTATCTGGTAATTAGTTTTCTTTACTATTAGGTTGATAAAAATCATGATGTTTTGGAGGGAGAGGGAAACAAGATTTTAAATTTATACTATTTTTATATTTCAATATTTTTATATTAAATATTTTTTGGCCGGTTTAATTTATAAAATTGTTCATTAAAGGCATAATTAATAGCATTTAAAAAATTTCAGAGTAATTCTAAATTTATTGAAAATATTAAAATTATTTTTGGTTAACGTTCAATTCCATCTCATGATTAATAAAAATTTAATTATGTGGTTGTTCAGTATCTCAAATTTTTTCAAAATAATTATTATATTAAATATTTATGTAGTATTTAAGGTAGCAATATAACTTCATTAATTTCAGTGAATGAAATAATAAATATATAACAATATAAAATATTCAATTGTAGTTAATCTAAATTGTATTTGTTTGTATTATCTAATGGGAGGATTTTTATATTTTTAAGACAGTAAAGAATATTTCACATGTTTATAATTAATGGTGTGTATGCTTAGTAATTGATGCAACATTTAACAAACAAGTGAGGCAAAGATATGGCAAACTAGTATATCTTATTTTGCTTTGTCAGAAGTTAGAATACTCCAAATCTACAAAATTGTTCAAATGTTTAGTGGGTGCTATATAGCTATTGTGTACTTAATAATTAATTTAAGCATTTTATTAATGAAATTTGTGGTTGAAATCAATTGATTTGAAAGTGTCATTGCCATACTACTTTATGTTCACGATCATTTCCTTTATGATGTCCAGGAAGGGTTGCTGGAACGGCAAGAGTTCCTACAATGGGTACTTGAGCAGTTGGACCGAATGCGATCTGCTCCAGCTGATGATGGAATTCTGCGTCTGTTGCTGCCTCTGGCTCTGCAGTATCTTGATGAATTTGTGCAGTCTGAATTGCTGGCACGGAAGTTGGCATACTTGTGTGCTCGCAAATTGGCTCAGTTGTGCCAGGTTGCGCAAGAAGGAGCGGCTGCTGCTGCAGCTGCTGGTGCCGTTGGGTCTGGTGCTGTGCCGTCACCCAGCTGCATGCTCCCTGCTGCCTCTCCTCAGAGCCCTCTGTTGCCTGGCACAGCATCTGTCAGGTACCATGTGTCAAGTGAAATTGCTTTTTTTTTTATGCTAAGATAATTTGTCTGATATCGGGTAGGGGTTTGCTTTGGTGCTACCTCAACAGCAATGTTTTACATGCCTGCTGAGACATAATGAGGTTCTTCTAATCTGCCTGTTGCTTGCACTGTATGTGTTCTTATCTGTCATCATCATTTCTTATTACTTAGTATGGTGAGGTCACGTTCTGGTGTCATTGGTTTCTTTATTCATTTGTGTGTGTGGTCCAAGCATGCTGAGAAAATGTTTGCCCCAAGTCGCTGTTTATTTTCATTCTAATGATTGCCTAACTTTACTTTGCATGTGTGCATGTTTTCTGTTATAGCTTCAATTTCAAGGAATGTTTAGCGCATGCATCTTTGTTCAAAGTCCCTAAAGAATGGATGTCTGTGCACCCATATCACTCGTAAGTACATGCTGCATGTGTGAGGCCTTTCAAAAGGTACCAGAATGCTAAATGATTTTGTTTCACAGTGTTCTGACAGCAGCTCAGAATCAGGTGGCCCTAAATCCACTGGCAGTGACATTCAACGAGTATTTGACATGTCCTCATCATCGAGATATCGTTCTGGCACTCAGTGCAGTTCTTCAGGTATGTGAGATTTCGTAGTATTGTAATGATGTAACTATAATGACGAGGGCAGAATTACCACCTAAGTTTTCATAGAGTTCCCTAATATTTTTGAATATAAATAATTAAAATAATATAATAAATAATAGATGTCCACAAAAATATAAAATAATCCTTCTCTACATTTTTGAGAGGCAAAATCTTTTCTTGTCGTCAAAGTTTTCCAGTACTGATATCAAGTATATGCACAATTAAGATAAAAAATATATAATCTCTAATTGATGTTTTTATCTCTTAAAGGGCTTTTCACTTTTCACATTGTTCTTGCATAATATGGAAAAAGTATTGTAATACAGAAGCAAAAAATTATTTTTTGACAGAGAAACAGGGTCTTAACTGGCCTATATGTATGATTTTCCCTGACTGTACGACTGATTAACATTATTTTCGAAAATTGTAAAATAATTAACACTGCAAAAGAATAATATTGCTCAAAGAGATTTTTTCTTTAGAGAAATCTGTGATCAAGAATTAGATCATTAAATAAGGTCATCAACAATTTGTTGAAAAAACGAGTAGTTTTTGCATAATTTGTGCATGAAGTAAAGGCAAGTTATAAAAAAGTATTTTCTCAAATACAACTTCAATTAAGGTTATCTAGTCGAATATCTCTGGTGATACATAGGCATTCCTGATGAAACATCTTGTTAAAATGTAGGGAGCTACATTTTAAGCTAAAATTGTTTCCCATCATTAAAACTATTTTTGAAATTAGAAGCAATAACATCTAGCCTAAGTCACCTGTGACAAGTTTGAATAAATCTGACTTTGCCTGGTCACACACAGTCAACTATTTTGAGCATTAGGTGGGAGCAAAGAAACATATAAGATTCACAGATAAAGTCATGATCCTTCTTTTTGTTCATGCACTAGGGTAAAAAGTGTAAATGACTTAGAAGCATATACTTGGAAGCATCACAAGAGGTATAATTTAACATGGGGAATGAATGTGGCCAAGAGAAATTGATGTAAAAGGTGATAAAACATTAATTCCGGGAACATAAAAGTGAAGTTTTTCCAAAATTAATTTGAGATTCTTGTTGAGGAATACCTATTTCTATTTCAGGTTATTACTATGGAGTGCCCCACAGCTCTTGTGTGGAACTGTGTGGGTGAAGGCAAATCATCGTCTGTGTTGAATGGATCTCCACTTGATCATTTACCTTGTGCTCCTTCTACACTTCCTATGCCCCAGCGAGCTAACAACCCTCAAATTAGGTGAGTAAATGGCAAATATTCACTTTTCTGGATATTATTACTGTATATTAATAATTTAAATTATGTGTATCTCTACATTTCCATTAGTGTAATAAAATATTTGATTGTTTGGGTATAAGAAAAGTTGAGTTTGTTTTTCATTGTCATATAAACAAGAATAAAATTTCAATATAATGTACTTTTTGGACTTCATTTTAAAATGGGATATTCTAAATGTAAACAATTTTTAAAGTTTAATTCTGATTTCATTTGAGTTACAATATTTTTTATGTATACAGAATTGGTTTGTTAATCATTTTGATTTTAAAATAATTCAGTAATGTAATATCTGAGTGTTGTGGTCATGTGTTTTTTGTATAAAGCCAGAATATTACAAATGCTTTTTATGTTACTACTTACTTATGTATATACGGAAAGTTGTGTAATGCTGCAAATACTTGATAGGGAGATTGTAATGGAAATACCTACTATTGATATCCCTGATTCTGGTTTTTTCAATACATCTGTCTATGAACAACACTAGTACCTAAAATGTACAGTCTTTTCACCAAAATTGATATTCTCTTATTGATCTGGCTGATCTTGCGGTCCATTGAATTTGAAACACATTATATGTTTTTGGACTTGCAAGTTTTTTGGAGTAAATGATTAAAAGAATACTAACACTTGCTTCCATACACATTTGTTTTGGACAATTTATCTTTTAATAAAAGAATGCTAACCTTTGTGTGGCAAATGTAAAATAAAGGAGTGAACCTGAGAAAGACAGATGCATTCATTGAAGATATAGTATAATAATTTGCTCAAAAAATGTTCATCAGCATAATTTTTTTTATTCTTGTTGTACTATACATACGCAAATAATTCCCTCATTTTTTTAAAAATGCGTTGCTGAAAAGAGTGTATGGGTATTATTCATACCAATGCTAAATGTTAGTACTGCGAACTTGAAGCATGTTGCATATGGTTACATGGTGGCGTGGGTTAGTAGAAAGAGTTTGTTGAGGTGTAGTTGATGTTGACCTGTCACCAGTGTTAATAAGTTTATGGCGTAAGCCAGAGATCTATCACCGTGGAAAAAATGTGATAGAAGAAGCAGAACAAAGTGGTAACCATGCAGTAAGAAGGAAGTATGATGTGGATGATTGGAATTGTGTTTCGACATTAAAAATGTAATTAATGAAACTATTTTTTTGCATTAAAAGTGAAAAAAGTGTTTTTGTTGAGATTCCTTTCCATAAAAATTAGGGTGCAGGTGTTATTTGAGCCAGAAGGTTATTCAACGTGTATGGTATTTTACTTTTGTGTGGTGTGCTACTTTTATTTTGAACATTTTCATTTATGCCCATGTGAAAGGAAACAACTGAGAATTGCAGAAGAACATATTCGACAACGAAGCCGTGCAGCTGAAGGGCGCTGGTCTTGTGATAAATGGCAACAGTCATCTGCCGGTGCAACTACTGCCAAAGTACTGACAGCACTGGATGCTCTGGATCGTCATAGCTTCGAACGAATGGATGCTTCAAATTCTTTAGACACTCTCTATGCAAAAATCTTTGCACCTCCTGGTACTAAGGACACTAACTCAACAACAGGGGGCAGTTCAGGAGGCAATGGAGGTGGCAATGGGAGCAGTGGTGGAGGTGGAAGCACTCCCAACCCTGCCACTCCTGCTGGTCCTTCCACTCCAGGAGAAGCTCGTGACTCTCGGGAAAATTATGTGAGTGGTTTTTATTACTAGACATCAAACTTTTTTACATGACGAGAGTAGAAATTTTGTTGAAAACAATAAAATATATGTTAATGGTTTCTTTTTGAATGCAATGAGGTCTAGTTGGGGTCCCATAGGGTTCTCATTGTGGCTGTACTTTTCAACAGTTTTGTAATTGAATTGCCTGAGATGATGAGATATATCTTTTGTGGGTAAATAAAAAGAATATCTTATTCAGCAACTTTGATGTTGGAAAAGCAAACAGTCTGCAATCTGATTTTACAGAACTCAAGCAAGGCTAATGCTATTGAACATTAGGTTTACTATTCTTTCTTCCTTTTACATGTCAATTTCCATTCAGTCATAATGACTCTATTGCTTCTGTCAGTTTCACTAATTAAATTCAGCACTTCAATCTTATTGCGCACTGGAATAGCTGTTGAGTGTTGGACATTTTTTTAACACATCCCACTCATACTCAGACTTTCCACCACACTTGTTTTCAGGCTTAAGCAGAACGTTTTGCTGCTTACTCCATATAGTGCACAGCTCATAAAACGCAATATTGATCTGATAAAGGAACAATACAAGATCTTTGTTTAGTTTTATGAAAAATGTTTAGTTTTATGAAGGATATGAAGAATTAAAATTTCACAGTCATTATAATTCCTGGAAATGAATAGCTTAAAATCTCAACCTGCTGTCATAGATCACACCTAAATCCCTAATGTGTAGGATACTTAGCTGTAAGGACCTTAACACTAAAAAAAATCTATGTCTACAATCTGGAGCAACTCCATGCAAACAAAGCTTGCAAAGAGTTGTGATTTAACATGGACTTTTTAAATAACTTCAAAAACTAATGTCCCTCAGCAAATTTCCTGTTTGACATGTGTACTTGAAAGCAGTGTATTCTACCTTTTGTCAAAACTAAGGTGATTTGCAGAATAGGAACTTAGGGGACCTGGAAAATGTAGAAAAATCAGAACACAGAAAATATAAGGGAAATGGTGTGTCAAAATATTTATTTTTAACATTCTTCAATAGAACAAAAGGGTGAAGGAATTAAAATTGAATTTGTAATTGTGTGTCAGACCTGAAGATGATTGCTAAACCACCAATTGGTGCTTACTTAATATAAAAATGTTGATAAAGGCAACAATTACATTCATTAGAGAAGCAAAATGGAAGTCCAGAAAAAAAGCAACATTGCCTAGGTATCACTATTTTTATTACTTAAGATCTTTTTGATTGCATAGTGATAGTCATCAGAACTAATCTAAAAATGTATACAAGAATCGTATAAATACAAATGAAAACATGAAATTGATTGAAATTTAATACAAGAAATGAGATTGAATATATGAGATATTTATGTTGTCTAATCTCAATATAAATTTGAAGGGTAAAAAATGTCACAAAGATTTACTGTAATTATTCTACATGAATATTTCACATAAACATATATTTTAAAATGAGAAGTTTAGTTAACCATTTTATTTTTCATAGTGTGTAAAATTGTGATATTTATTAAGGTTTCACAGAAACGATTGCAGATTTCATCTCAATAATTCAGCATTGGAGTTCAAGGAAATGCTATTACTGAACATAATTTTCTTCCCTACTTTGAAGACATTTTTGTATTAATAGCATACTCTAGTGCTGCATTAATATTACAGTCTGCTAAATTGAATACAGAGAAAATGAAAATTAAACAGGGAAGATAGAAACAAGTACTTCACTGTCAATGACTAACAATTAGCATTAGTGACTGCAGAATAGGAAATAAATTAAAACAGTGCAAATATTGAAAGTTACAGAATTATCCTGCTCAATTCATTTTTTTTTTCAACTTGTAATTACATTTCTTGTTAATGTGCTATGTTTTTGCATTGTTTACAAAAATGTTGCGAACGGCAAGGCAACCTAAAAATTCTGCAATATTATAAGTTCAAATTACACATGCAATAAAAATTCAAGAAATATAAGAATTGAAAACAACATTTTATTAGTGATTAAATGGACGTTGGTAATTACAACTAATCTCACTAATCAATATTAAAAGATTTTCTGAATAGATTCATTTGTTCAATGAAATTTCATATTAATTTTCACATAATATGTTATTGTGTATTCAAGTAGAATTGTGCATTTGACATAGTCTCATTTAGATGTATACTTGTAAATGCTGGAAACAATTTGTTACTTCTTTTCCTTTCAGACTCTGGCACAGGATGAAGCTGTAGTGCAAACACTATGTGAGTGGGCTGTAAGTGGTGCTCGTAGTGGCGAACACAGGGCAATGGCTGTTGCCAAACTCCTGGAAAAACGCCAGACAGATCTAACATCTGGTGATGCTGATGGAGCAGATGAGAAAGATTCAGTTTCCTCTGCAGCTGGAGCACCCACTGGTTTGCCGGTGTTCCAGCCACTTCTTATGCGTTTTTTAGACAATGATGCCCCAGTTCTGGGTAAGAAGTTATTCTACAGTGGTTTATTTATATAATCAAGATAGAAGTGTGTATTGCTGAATTGTTCCTAATGGCTTCAGAAGAATGTTTGTGTTTTCCAAGCATGAAAATGCTAACCTAAAACAAGTAATTGAGAGAGTTTCTGATATTTATATCTTTCAATACTTTCTGTTTATTTTTTATCATTAACAGTTTCAACAATGAAGCATATATTAGACCACGAAATTTTCAGTTGAAAATCCTTTATTTTGTTTTGTTTTGAAAATGTAATGAAGTTTCATCCATAAAATATTTGTCTGAAATTAAAATGTTCGTACTTTTTAAATAATTTCACAAATGTATGCATTTTTTTCCAGATGAAAATTCTACTCCTCAACAGAGGACTGTTTTCACCAACTTAGTTCATTTATTTGCGGAACTGATTCGGCATGATATTTTTTCCCATGATGTGTACATGTGCACTTTAATTTCACGAGGAGATCTGAACACCGGAGGACCAACAGGAGCTGCCCATCCTCCTTCAACTCCCCACCCTTCGAGCAACAAGCCTGCAACTCCCGCAGAAACGAGGGGAGCTGCTAACCCTCCAGGTTTGCAGGATGATGATGGATCGCTTTTTTCAGGGATTGATCTCAAACCTACGAAGTTGGAGCTGCAGGTAAGACTTTTACTTTCTCTCTACATTGCTGGCGTAAATTACAAAAATGGCACATTTTTTCAGCTTCATTTTAATCTTCCTATAACTAAAATATTGGATATACATTTTTTCCTTAATGGAATCTGTTTTTTAAGAGAGATTTTGAATTAAGGTCATGTACAATTTTTCGAAAATTTGTGTAAATTTTTAGTTTTTGCATAATGTTGCTTTAAACATAGGCAATTTTATAATTTTTAAACAATTATTTTCTCAGAAATGGCTGCAAATTTTTTCTTTAATTGTTTTTAATGTATGTAACAAAGAACAGTAAAGGAAGTGGTGCTGATCCCATTGTTGGCTCTCTGTAGTTTTGAAAATAGGGAAAAAATTCAAAATGGTACATTCAAATTTCCCTCTTTTTTTTTGAGGCAGTGTTATTATACATTGCTCTATAATTAGAAGCAGATAAATTTCAGACACACAACTGCTATTTTGGTAAAAATGTATATGATAAATAGTGTATATTTGTAGTAGTAGTAATAATAGTAATAGTAATAATAATAATAATAATAATAATAATAATAATAATAATAATAATAATAATAACAACAACAATAGTAATAATAATAACAGTAAGAATAATAATAATAACAATAATAATAATCGTAAACTTATAATGTGCTTAAAGTTAGTTTTTTTAATTTGATAGGATAAGGACTAAGAGTTTGAAACTTTTGTTGTATTTTCCACAAATTTACATGTTTATTTTAATGTACACAAAGTGAAAGGACAAGCTTGAAGTGAGTAATATTTAAACTGCCTACAAATTTGTTTGTAACAGTATTCATTAATTTACTATTTCATATTATTTTAACTTTTTCTAAATCAAATGTACAAAGTTGGAGCAGTTTTTGAAAGTTGGAACAGTCAGTTAACAAAGTTGTTATCAAGAAGGAATACCTTAATAGAACTTTCATAGAAGCCACAGTAATGGAAACTGAAAAACAATTCGTTTATGGCAAGAAAGGCATTTTTGTCAAGAATTGATAAGAAAATATGTGCCCATTATTATGCCTTCTGCCAAAGAGCACAACAATTTTGCTCCCATGCACCCATTGTTGTCATTGCTCATGTTGCATGCACCCTTTGGCTGTGATGTGTTGATATGGTCAAAGGTTGCGGTATAATATTACATAGCTGTTACCAAGGGCCAGAAAATATGTGCTAATTTACCATTACTTATTTTAATTCACATGTCTTTTAATGGTACATAAAATGGAAACTAATTGAGTGAAAAATAGTATACAAGCTTGTAGAAGTTGAGGGAGGTGGATGGCTTTCATTATGTATTATCCAATTACAGGATCATGCACGGAATACTGATTATGATGACAGCAAGATTGATGATGATTTAGATAAACTATTGCAACATATCAAAGAAGAGCAACAGAATTCCTTGGTGAGTTGTTTTTTCTGAAAATTGCTTTGTGTGCAATTAAATTCTTAGTCCTGTTCATTCCAGATTTTTGGGGATGACGGATCTGTACCATTAGATAAAAAAAACAAAGAAAGAATTCTAATTATTTTAATTGTGATGGTGTTTGTGCAATGTCTATGTGATGTGATGGTTTTTATGCAGGATGCTCCTGATTCTCCTAAAGATGATGGAGTTGGACCTCCGGGTTCTTTTGTGGGTCCTCCCATGTCAACAGTAACGTCTATGGAAACAGATATAGGTAATGGGAGCACAGGAGGAATGGAGACTCGTTCTCGCCATCTACTGTACACAACACATTTTCCTTTGCCTCAGGTAAATAGAATATAAGCAATAGAAATGATTTTTTTAAGTATAAAGAAATATTCTGGAGCAGAAATGTGTATTTAGTGGGGAAGGATATAATTTGGTAGGTTTAATGGTTTCTCTAGTTTCTCTACTAACAATTATTGTCAGTGTTCTGTTAGCTTTGTGTTTCAAAGACCACATTGCTCTTTTAATTTTCTGCTAACGAAATGTTTTTTTGGAAAGCGTAAACTAACCATGACTGAATGGATCAAGGTTCATGTATAACGAAATACATTAATTTTAAATAAACACATTTCATTCAAGTAATATTAACTTCAATCATTATAGGGAAATGGAAAAGAATAAACAGTATAGACAAGATATAAACTGCTCTTTTGATTGTGTTGAATAATTGGAACCATTGAATCATACATAAATAACACAACTTCTTTCATCACATATTACATTTCAGTCAACTTTGAATCAAATTGAGACAAAACACAAAATGTTAATTACACTTAAAAATTCTTCTCTCAGCAAAAGCGCAGCTGTTTTAAAAGTTTCTTGATGGAGAAATTTAAATCAATTTGAAACATTGTTTCGGTCCACTGTGTGTCCTTTTCCTGTTTAGTCATCAGACCTCGCTTTCCATAATAAAACATGAATTATTTCAATTGATACATTGCAGTTCTGCTCTTGGTCTGCAACTTTTTCCTTATACCATAGAAAGTTCTATATGTGTATCTTAGAAAGTGGAAATTTACTTAAACCTGATGAACAAAATGCTAATAATGACTATTTTCATTGATTTCCTTTAATTTTCATTGTGAACCTCATCCAATAACTTGCCATTTATCTTTTTTATTTTATAGTTTTAATACTAATGTTATATAAAATAGCAAAGCTTCTCACAACCTCTTAAATTTTCTCTTTGCCACGATTCCCGAAGTGAAATTTTTCATGGTAATGAAAAAACACTTCTGACCACATAACAAAATCTGCAATGAATTAAAAGTAATTTCACAATTGCTTTGACTGACTGCTGTGTAGATCTGACAGTTTTTATAATCAGTCAAATGCTGTGAATTTTTTGCTGTGAACAGTTCATTAAAGCAGCATATATGTTTATTCCAGTCTGTGGAAGCCTATCTATTACCATTTTTTCCATATTTGCATGAAATGAACCATTAACTCACTCTACTGTATGTGTTTGTTTATGCAAGATTGTCAAATTGTATGAAAATAATGCTGAGAACATTTGATACACCTATTATAAACTCTTTTGATAGGTACCTTTAATAACATATTATAAAATGTTTTTAGTACAATATTTTGCCATCATATTTTTAATTGTTTAATGCTTATTATGAAATATATTGTCAATACAGGATGAACCTTGCAGTATGCATGACTGCAACCAGCGACATGTTTTGTTGTATGGAGTGGGGCGGGTCAGGGATGAGGCACGCCATACTGTCAAAAAGATGACAAAAGAAATATGCAAATTGTTCAGCAAGAAGTTCAGCATTGATGTGGCAGAAGGTATGTTGGAGATATAATATATAATATAACATAATATAATATAATATAATATAATATAATATAATATAATATAATATCATATAATATAATATAATATAATATATAATATAATATAATATAATATTTATAATATCTATCCTTGTAGTAAATAATACAAGTACTTATTCTAGTGTTAAATTTTCATAAAATAAATTTAAACAATGTTCTTTGCAAATTAATCATAATATTTATCTAATCTATTAAATCCTTAATTTTATAAGGGTGTGCCATAATAAGGTAGTATTTAAATTTAATTTTGAAAATAAGTTAGAAAGTCAGTTATAATGAATTAATTATTTTAGTAAAATGAATATAGGTTACATGTAATTGCTCATTAGAGATTTATGAACTTAAATAATAATGTTTTGTTAAATTAATTTTTCCTGACTGTAATATGATTTAGCAATTAGATGTAGTTTATGGGTAATCATTAGATCATCAGAAATAGCTCAGAATGTAAATTTTACTTTTTTTTTTTTTTTTTTTTTTTTTTTTTTTTTTTTTTTTTTTTTTTTTTTGATTTTTTTATAATTTATTCTCAAGTATACAAGAAAAAATATAAACAGTTTTCTGTTTTTCATTGTTAGTTTTGTGTCAGTGTTTTAAATTTTTTTAAAAAGTTACTGTTACGTTAATTTTCAAATGTAATCAGTTGAATACTTTTGAAATAATGCTTTTCTTTCTTCTTTATTCATTGATGAAAATGTTTGACAAAAACAAGTCATTGTTTTTAATGCACTTCTTTCTTGTAGGAGGCAAAGTGAAAAAACATTCACGTGGAGAATTTAATTTTGAAGCAACTACAGCTAAAGTGCAAAGTTTGTCATATTTTGATCAACATGTTGTAACGTGGCAATGTGCTGTTACAGTCATTGAAATGTTGAGTTCATTTGCCAGTGGTAAGTACAGAAATGTGTTATTGAAATAAATTTCTCTTTATGCAAGGTTTGGGTGACTAAAATTTTGTAATTGTTCCTTTTTTTGTTTTTAGGGAATCCCAATTATTTACCAGTTCAGGAACATGTAGCCTTTCTCTTTGACTTAATGGAATTGGCACTAAGTATCTATGGCTTGATTGATTTTTGCATTCAGGTATTCTAATAATTTTGTAATGGTTTTATAACATTTTAATATTTTTTTAATTTCTATTTTTACTTTCCCATATACGTACGTATACAGAGTAATTTACATAGTTTGGGGGAAATTATGTAATGCTGCGGAAAATTGATTTTGAAATTTTAATGAAAATACATGTTTTGAGAACCCCTAATATCGATAGTGGTTCTTTTTAAAACGTCCGTCTGTCTGTCCATCTGTGAATACAACTAGCACGTAAACCATGTGTAGGATTTTTTTTAAATTGAAGAAACCCCTGTCCAACGGGCTGGAGTTCAAGCTTTGTAATTTTGAAAAACATTTTTTCATAAACTGGTCCAAATTTGTTCTTTTAATTTCTTTTAAGAAGGGAGTAACATACACTTAAAAAAGTGGCAAAGATCAGATTTTCACAGTTAACTCTGAATTTTTTGAAAATTTCAAAACTGTGAATTTTTTGGTTTTTTTCCCTACAACTACAAAATTAAAGATAAAGATTATTCCTTCAAGTAAAATTGTAAAAATTTAAATAAAATTGTTCAAAAATTTAATTTTTTTGACTTGTATCTCACGTCATTAATATTCATATTAGCAGCAATTTGTTCACATTATTATATTTATGAGAACTTATGCTTTGAATAATGTCAGATAAAGTTTCTCGAAAACTCAACTGTTTTTGACAACTAGTTGAAAAATTTCTTCATTTTCAGAAACGCTCACATGCCATTTTCTGAAAAAATGCTCCAAATGTCTTTTTCAATTTTTTTGAAGGGATAGTGCTAATTGCACTGTTTAATATGACATTAAGTTAATTTTATGTTGTTTTTTTTCCTAAAATTACACAAATGTAATTTATTTGAAAGATCTCTCACGCTGTTAATACGCACATTTCCAGATTTTAAACACAATTGTATATATGAGTTAAAATGCTTCAAATGACTTCTAAAATTTTTTTTCGAAAACTCAAAAATTTTCTGTGAAAAAGAGCTTCAAATTTCGAATTTACAGAAGACTTGATCACCATTTTTCAAAAAACAACTCCAAATTTTTCCAAGAAAATTGCTATTTAGGACAAGGTTTTACTGTTCTTTAATATTCTTAAAATAATATTTCCGTTCTACTTTTAGGAAACTGAAAAATTAAGAATGAAAAAATAATGTATTTTAAGTGGCCATAGTTGGCAGTAGTATGTGGCAAGTTTGACTAGATGAGACTAATGGAAAACTACCACAGAAAAGTCTGTGCCATTCTGTAGCACCACTAGTCAATTTTTTATTTTTTTAACATGAGTTTCAAATTTATTTTTAGAGAATTAAGTATCCTTATCCATTTCATAAATTTACCTTCTTATCAGGATTTACAGGATACAAATTATATTTTCTTAATAGTGTTAGATTGGTAATTACATCTTAATAAATATTCTGTAGTTCCTTAATTAGTTTTTTTAGGAATAAATTCTCTCTCTACTATATTTTGTTTTATTGATTCATGGCTGGACTCGTAACTGCCTATAATTTTTCATCTCAAAAACAATTATCTATGTTTGGGATAATTCTTTCTTATAGTTTAATCAAAATGAGTATACAACCTAGGTAATCTTGAAATGCAATAAAATATTAATGTTAAGAATATTTCAGTTGTATTCAACTTGCTCTATTGGAAAATGAATGTGGTTGTAGCTTTGCGAAATGTTACAAAATGTTTCTAAATCTTAAAATAAAGTTAAGTTACTGGAGATTAGGGTTACTGTACAACTGAAATGTTTAAGTTGACAAACACAAATAGAAATTGAATTTTTCAGATCCTGAAAGAGCTTCCTGAAGTAGAGGCCCAACTTTTGGCTAAGGGCTCTAATCTGGTGCGCTGCTATACATCGACACTTTGCTTGTATGTTGTGGGTGTGCTGCGACGATATCATTGTTGTCTTCTTTGTAAGTTATAATTTTTCGGTCTCCAGAGATAAACAGTAAAAAAACCAAATGTGTGAGCTTGCTACTTCCAATTAACATTTCTTTTGGATGGGGTTTCCATTGGGGAAAATTGTAAGACAAGTAATATTATACTCTTGTTTTTTCTCCAATTTCTAATGACAATAACATAAAATTGTAACATGGTTGGGAGAAAATGGTAAATTCAAGAAGAGTATCTAGAATTTTTATATTACCTTAGTATCATTTAGAATTGACACAAAGACCTTGTACCTTTGTAATTGATTAAATACTTTAATTATTTCGTATTACAATGAATTCCAATAGAACCCTGTCATAAGAGAAAACAGGCTGTTGCAAGTTTCATTATATGCATTTTCTTCTCACATGTAAGTGTCCCCATTATTAGAGTTTCTTCGTATAGCAGAGGGAATATTTGTTGCAGAGGAATTTATTTTCCCCACAAGTAAGAGTCTGAAGTTGGAATACCAAATTTTCCCACTTCTTTCTTAGATAGGCAGGTGTTTAATTGATTTTACTCTTGAGTACCCATGACAAAGGGATTCCCTTCTGCCAAATAACCCAGTTCATCTGTGAAACATGAAAATCTTCTCCCATTTTCCCTATGTACCTTCTAAGACGTGCAGACTCCATCAGGAACTCATTCAGACATGTGTTAATCATGTTGGGGGGAGGTGGAACAATGTGAGCTGTGCAGTATTAAATGCAGAGGGGTTATCATCATTGTGTATGTTGTATTAAGTTTCTCTCAATTCTCATAATGCAACGTACGCAATCAAATTGTAGTAAACACAGTATTGATGTTGATCACCTCGTAAATGTGCATAGAAGACAACATTTCGGTGTAAAAATTCCTGTTAAGCATCAAAAAGCACACAATTTCAGTATTGTAAAACCTAGACGTTTTTGTACAAATTTTAGAAAACTTTAGGGGAAGATATTGAAGTTTTGCACTTCCACATGTTCCCTTCTAATAGAGGGATACTAAATTCTACAAAAGGTCTACAAAACTGTGTGACCATTGATGTCTCTTATTATATTATGTACTATACATAATGTCTATACTTTAAATACTATACATATATGTACTATGTATAAATACTATATATACTATAAATTCATGCCTCTATTCTAAGCAAATTTTTTGTAAAAGGGAAAAATATTTTTATAATAAAGTAATTTAAAAATGAAATAAAATAATTTCAAAATGGAATAATGATGGAAATGTAGATTAGAAAAAAATGTGTAAAAATGGCTTGGAGAGGGAGGTAACTAGCAAGTTAAATTTTTGCACCTTAAATTTCCAAACTTACATTTTGTAAAGAATTGATTTTCCCATCATGAAATTAAAGTTAATTGTAATATTTTATGCAATGACTTTTTTAATCACCATTTTAGGTATTTATTACGTTTTGAGTTTTGCTTACTCCACTTAACTTGTATGAAACTAAATCTTTTGAACTTTGTTATTTGCAGTATCGCCTGATCAGACTGTAGCTGTCTTTGAAGGTCTTTGCCGTATTGTAAAGCATGTAAGCAATCCAGGAGATTGTTCATCTGCGGAAAGATGTGTATTGGCTCATCTTTTTGACTTGTTCTCAACGTGCAGCTTACTTAAATCAAAACCGCATTGTGTTGAACCATTCAGCAATGCATATCCAAAGATTCGACAAGCACTGTACTCTTCCTTACAACCTTCAACTTCAAATCATGTCTGCAATGCACAGTTCATGCAAGAGGTTCTCAGTAACCCTAAACGTGGAGGTAAATATATGTTTTAAAATTTTCAAGAATTCATTATTTCCTTTTTTTTTTTACCTTTCAAATGTACATGCTATTTTCATGCCATCTTTAGAGAGAACTACTTAGTTTCAAAGTTGAATAAATTAAGGTTTACTGTGTTAAATTATTATAACTCAAACAACTAAGTGGTCACTTCTGTTAAGGGCCATTTTTTCATGGAAGTGATTGGTTTTTTAAAAGACACATGTAAATATACCCTCCTGTCAGCAGATCCCTAGCTAAATGGCCAACGGCCAGGCACATTTCGTAGATTGACCTTTATTATGTGGTCACCTCAAGCAATTTTGAATTGTATGATGATAAGGAACAAAAAAGTAGTGGAGATTAATGTCGATTTAACATCGTCCTGCGATAGAACACATTGTCAGATTACTTCGAACTGTGGCATCCAGGCTTTTCTTTCAGAGAGATTACTTTATGTTTCAGGTTGCCTCAGATGATTTTAATAAATATATCTTCATGAAACAATAATGCGTTCACTTCACCCATTTTACAGCATTCCTTTGATTTGCTTACATTTCTCTTCTGTGGGAATTTGTTCAGGACTTGCAAAACACAATGCGAATCCTGTAAGGTCATTTGCAATCTTCTTTGCCAAATGATCCTGCGATAAAGTTTCTTCAGGAAGTGAATTGCATCTTCAAGTTTAGTTTGCTTGTTAGATTCTGTGAGAATGTAAAAAATTTTCTTGAGTAAGAGAATGAGTAACAACTCGAGGGTATTTTGGTATTAGCCAGGAGGAGGCAAATTATCCTAAATGCCTTGTTTAAATTGTATTTTGTTGTTTGTGGTAATTAAAAGTATTACAGAGAACATATTTCATTTTATAGCAATTATCACTATTAGATTTGATTTATGCTTTCAGTAACCTTGATTAAGTAGCTAGCTCTAATAATGGCAAATTTTTATCAGACCCATTGGTGACCGTTTAAGTCAGGTTTCACTGTAGCTTATTTTTATGATTTAATTTTGAATCAAGCTTTATTCTTCTGAAGTGTTTTAGTTTTTATATTAGATCTTTTATAAAAATTATCTATGAAAAGGTAAATTATGAATTGAAAATAGTTGGTTTTGCTTTTAAAAACAACTTTAAAAAAATAAAATAGAGTTAATTTTCCAGGAAAGTTCTAGGTGTTCATATGATAAATCATACTAAGAATGTGCTATTGTAAGGAAGTAAAAATAATTTTTGTTTTGAGCAGGTAAAGTGGAATCTCAGTGGGCTCGTCAACTTGCAGAAACTCCCAGCAATCGCTACAGCTTTGTGTGCAATGCTGTAGTTGCTGTTTGTAATGAGACTGATAATGACAGATTAAATGATCTCGCTATTTTGTGTGCTGAGCTCACCGCATGCTGCAATGCTCTTTCTGCAGAGTGGTTGGGTAAGAAAACTTCACTATATACAAACTATAGCTAGCTCCTTTTTATATTTATCCCCTATAGTTGGATGTTGTTTAAAGTCGGATTTCAAGGCTTCATTTCTACACCCACATTCATGGTGGAGATTTCACTAATGAAAACTGAGTGCATGAGGGGAGGAGTAAATAATTATAAATTTTGCAAGAATGAAGTTAATTATGTAATTATCATTAAGTTTACTATTCTTGTGATAAATTCATTGCAATATGAAAGTAAGATTGTTCTGTTAACCTATATTGTTATTGCAGTTCAGTGTACAAAAAACATCAACTATTGAATAAATAGGCATCTTAGCAATGACATTCTATCACTATCCTTCAGTAACACAGAAGTGGTAAGATAAAAACAATTAGACAGAGGCAATAATTTTCAGGGAGGCATATAGCTGTGATTGGCTTAAATAAGAGGAATACTTGAATATTGTTAGTCAAAATTACATCACTATAATAGTCAGTCACAATAATCCTCCTCCCCTACCTGTAGGGGGGCCTACATTTCGCTAATTGTTTTCAACTTGTAATGAGAAAATGTGCTTTAGTGTTTGTTTATGAGTAAATCATTGTTTCAGGTGTACTAATGGCATTGTGTTGTTCTTCCAACCATTCATCTCACTTTATTGATGTACTGGCTCAGGTTGATGTGCATGATCTGTCTATTCACAACTCTTTGGCTGTCTTCACTTCCATTCTTATTGGTAAGTTTCAGAACTAACAATTAAATTGTCTGTGAAAAAGTTGAATGTGTGTATGTACGTTCTATTTTCAGTAATGGTGATACATTCAGTATTATTTTGGTATTGTAAAATTAGTTTGAAAATAACAATATTGTATTTTTTATTTTTATTGCAGCAAGACATTGTTTTTCTTTGGAAGATTTTGTGGGACATATAGCTTTACCATCATTGTTAAAAACCTGTAAAGAAGGTAAGTAATTGATTTACATATTAATTTAATAGAACTGAGTCCAAGACACTAGAACACTAAACAGGTGGACGATTTATTAACAAAATTAATTTTTTTATGGAAAACTATTTGAGCCTCAAATTGCTGCTGTATTGAGAATAGTTTTATTTTCATTTTCAAACATCATCTTACGTTCTTTCAAGAATGTTATGTTTACTCTAAATAAGTCATTTCAGTTGAATTTTGACCAAATAATTTATCAAATACTGTGATTTTTTAGTGAAGTGAAGACTTTTTTTGTAAAGTTTTACTATTGCTCATTAGAAGAGAATTTATTTCTCCCTGAACGCCTTTGCCTTTCCTTGCTTCATAGTGTCTGTTGGCAAATATTGTTGGCTATCCAAATTTTTTCTTCATTCATAAGAACTGCAGTGAACAGAATTGCAAAACAGATGAAGATGAGACATCAAAAATTTGCCCTAACATCTCATATGCAATATGGGTCAAAGAGACCATTAGACTAAAATTTGACCTAATATGTTTTCCTTCTTCATTAGGAGTGTGCATTTTATTTCTTTATGGTTTTTAATTGTATAGAGTGTAGGAAAGCAAAAAAATTGAATTGTTTCGTATTTTGTTTTTTCTGACATACTATGCATGTTACTTTATCCCAGCTTTTTTGTATGTTCCTTACCAATAAAAACTTGTGGAATACCTTGTTGCACTTCATTTATTTTCTTTCTGTTGTTATTATTATCATTGTTACCAATCCCATTGTCATTGTCGCCATCATCATGAGCACCACCAGACATATTCAATCCCTTTTGAATTGTGGCCCCTTTCCTCATGGCAAATGCCAGTTAAGAGGTGGAAGGTATGAAACATACTATCCCTCAGTGTCATACGTCAGGACATGAAGGGAAGATAATGGGAAGGTTTGATGTGCAATCCATGGTCCATTGCAATGGATGCTGCTCTGGCAATTACCTGTAGATGATCAGGAAAGCCATGGAAACCAAGGATCAGAGCAATCAACATCTGAACCCTATTCCAGCAGGAGCTGCAAATGATGTTTGCCATATCAAGGAAGTTTCTGACATCTACTTGTGATTGAACCTGAAATCTTTCAGCCACCATCCCAATTGTTTTTTGCCGTAATTCTCTTGGCTACAAAACATGTTATCTTGTTATTATTACATCTTCTCTAATTGTCAGGACGAGGGGACACTGATTTGGAAGCAGAGGCCGGGGCAAGGCTCACATGCCACCTGCTCCTGAGGCTCTTCAAAACCGTGGAGTACCCTCAGCCGGCACTCTACTCCATGAGTGCCTCCCCTCATCCGATGCCTGGGGGCACGGCAGCACCTATCGGCTACAGCATCAAGCTCAGCTGTGACCGGCATCTGCTGGCGGCTGCTCATAACAACATCCGTGTAGGGCCTGTGCTTGCTGTGCTCAAGGTATGGAAGTTAGTGGTAGTATCAGTCATAAAAAGTAATTTAGATAAAGAGAAGTGCTACAACTGTTTTTATTTGGACTTCTATTGAAGCTGTAATTAATACTTAATACAAGTGTGTGTTTCCAAATTATGACAGAAGCTGTGAAGTACTTATATTTTTGGTGAAAATATTAATTTCTCTGTTTTCCCTTTAACAGCATAAGAAACATACTTAAAATGAATTTGTGATAATAAGAGTTTTAATAAAAAGAGGAATCTAAATGATTTAATCCTGATAAAGGTGACTTCCTTCCAGAAAGATGTGTTTAGTGCCATTGTAAATTGGGGAATGTTTTTCTGTTTTCATTGTTGAGATAGTGATCAAGACATTTGAGGTAGAATCGTACTAATTTTGTTGGACACCGAACACTTTGACCAAAGTAAACGTGTACTTGAAAATCTCTTGATTTAAACAATTTACATGTTTACGATGAGGATTGTCAAATTGTAAATGGATGGACTCTTGTAAAAATTGTGTACTAAATTGTGTTGCTAAAACATGATTATGAATATTCATTTCAAAACATCCATTATCCAAAGATTATTCTCTTTGTTATTTTGTGATATTTTGAATCATAAATTCTGGTGTCCTCATAGAAGCATGTCAGCCTTAAAAACCATCAAGGTTCATTTCTGGAAAAGAAATAAGTGTTTTCTCAAAGCAACATCTGGCGCTAGTATGCGGTATTGTTTGTTATTTTTGGCTGATTTTAGTGTGGGGTAATGTTTAAAAGTTTAAAGTGACCTATTAAATCACTCATTTGGAGTGGTTAAAGATAATTTAGTTGATTTTTAGATTAGTGTTTGATAAGCAAGTGTGATGACTAACATAAATAAGCAAAGTACAGGTGGGGGTGGGGGAGTATGTGTGTGTGTTTGCATGTATGTGCGTGTGTATGTATTTTATCAAACAAATGTAATTATGTTGAATTTTTCCCCAGGGTCCCCTAGTCTCTAATTACAGCCTTGTTGTTAGCCTTCTTTCCAAACCTTTATGTTTATCATAATGTCCTATTATCATTTTTTGATAGAAGGTTGAGAAGGATGGGAAAAGAATTGCACAATAGTTTAATTTAATTGTTTATTACATAATTATGCACAAAGTAAAATAACTAAAACTGGGGGTGGGGGAGAAAAGGAGAATAGGAAGTTCTCTAGGCTTGTGTACAAGACTATTAGTTTGCAATACAGATTGTTAGGGAAGATCTTTCCTCTGCGTTATGTATTAGTTCACAGCTGATATAATTTTTTTCTTTACTGCAATTTTGGTGGTGAGTTTATATAGTACAAAAACTGCATTTTGTGGGATATTTTTGGATGCTCTTAGCATCCCTTAAGTAAAACCAAATAATGATAATGAACATGATGCTAATTACCAATAAACCGTATATTTGATCATCATGACTAGAGGGTGGATTTTAATGAAATATCATTATTTTCTTTTCACTTGAAAACCATGCCATTTAGCAGAGACATTAATTGTATGATATTACAAAACGAAATTACCCACCTTTGTATGACTTTTTTTTGCATTTTTCTTCAACTTAGATTGTTAAGTAATTTTTTACCTTCAAACTTTTCTGTCATTTTTAAAGCATTTTTTGCTGATTTCATTGATTTTAATATCATATTAATGATACTTGCTTCAAATAATATCGAAATTTAGCAAATGTTCTTCACAGAATTTCTGAGTAGGCTATTTGATTTCTTTTGCTTGGAAATTGTAATGTCAGCTGTTGTGAGTATGTAATCTAAGGTTCCTGTGACATCCATCAGCACCATTGTTGGTTCGGCTGATTTTGCGATAACGTAGACAGATTTCGTGGTAAAGAACAGTCCAAACCAAATGTTTGCAAGCTGAACAAAAGGAAGAAGCCTCGATTACATCAGTAACATATCTAACAGCTCAAGTTGTTCATGCATTAAAGTTTTACATTCATGCGAAATTTTTTACATTATTTCTAGGGCATTATAAAAACATTTTAAGAGTATTTTTTAAAATCAATTTTGGCAATGTTTCAGGTCATTAAACCCGAACTGTAATCATGACACACCTGCATTCTTTCTAGTATATTATCCTATTGAGAGATTCTCTCTCTCTCTCTGTAAAACCTTTTCCCTTCTGAAAGATTGCCTCTGGTAGCCCCAAGTTGTAAACAATCCTAAGTTGTGATGCTGTAAAGTAAGTGAAGAGATAATCATTCTGTTTTTATGTTTGATATTACTGAACTGCCCATTAACAAAAAACACCAAATAAGTATAAGTAATTAATTGCATGTTCAATGCAATTCATCACAATTGCTTGCTCTTCTCTTGAGAACGTTTCGCCTTTTTAGGGAAGAATAACCATCCTCCAACTAGAAGTCCTTCCTTCTGGAAGACATTTTTTTCTTTCTTCTTCAACTTATTTTCAGAAGACCTCTTTCATCCGAAATATTCTTTCCAGAAGAATGAAATCCTGAAAGATTCCGCTTCTAAAAACCTTCCTTCCAGAAGGCTTCTTTCCTCCTTCCCGAATACCGCTGTCCTCCTCCTGGAAGACCCCTTTCCTTCTTCCGGAAGACCCCTTTCCTTCTTCCGAAAGACCCCTTTCCTCCTCCCAAAAGTCTCTCTAAATCCTTCGTCGGGAAATCTGCTCTTTAGGGAGCCCTTTGCATTGTAGAAGGCCTTTTTCCCAAGTTGCATGAGCTGCGACGGCGTGTGACCTTCCGCAGGCGATCCTGGTGGTGGGCGACGCGACGGCGCGCGACTCCAAGGCCGCCCTGGGCAAGATCAAGACGGAGCCCGGCACGGGCAGCACGGGCACCGGGGCGGTGGCGGCGGCGGCGGCGGCCGCGGCGGCCAACGCGGGCTCCAAGACGCCGTCGTCGGGCGCGCCCGAGCTCAGTATCAGCCACATCCTCGGCACCTCCGACATGCTCGGCGCCGGCGACGACCCCTTGGGCTTCGGGTGAGCTGGCTCGCACACGCGCGCGCGCGCACACACACGCGCCGCCCCTCGCGCCTGCCGCGCTCCGCCGCTTTTTTCTCTCCTCCGCTCGGCCTCTTGGACTTTTCTTCATCTGGTTTGTCTTTCGCCCCGTATCTTTCTCTGCCTCTCTCTCTCTTTTGGCGACTTCGCCGCTCGACCGAGCTCCAGATACGCGTTGCATCTTTTTTCTGGCCCCGTGTGGGTTGCGCCGCAACGATGGGTGGCTGTTGCGAGCTCCTGGATCTCCTTTCCTTGTCTTCATCCGCATTTGCCTCGAGAGCGATTCAGTCCGTTCAAAAGATAGGACTCGTTGAAATACTTCAGGAAACTCTAAACGTGGACGAGTGTAGAAAAGTTCATTTTCTACATTGAAGTACAGTTCAAATCCATCTCTATTGAAACTAGATTTTAATTTCTGTTGAACAATACCTATCTAGTAAGCAGGATCTCCACACTTGAATTTTGGCGACCAGTAGCATTTTACGTACACGAATATATTTTCGTAACATCTGCGCGAAAAACCATTTGTGGTGCTGCCTTAGTCGTGTTAGAAGGGAGGAAGAGAAGTCTAGACTGAGTCTACGTCGTCAGCTCCTCGTCCGCATCAGTTTGCGCACGTGCTCATGGCGACAGTTTCGTCGTCAAGCGTCAGGTGTGCTAGGGAAGCGCGCGGTGGAATTGTGCGTTCCTGATTTGAACCAGTGACACTCGAGCGTCAAATAACGGACTTTAAAGTAGTCCGTCGTGGTGCAGCAGGATGCCTCGTACATATCGTGGCGAACCAGCACGCTGCAATGACGTCTGTCGCGTAGCTGCCAACGGATGTCAGCCGCTAGAATGCGTTTGTTGATCCTAACGAACGTAGTAGCTTCTCAGGAATTCATAGCCTGCACGAAGTATTAGCGACGTACGTTATGCATACAAGCTGTATTATATATATTACTGGGGCAAGCGCTATTAACGTTATTAGGTCGATTTACAGCAAATACCAACAGGCATATTGTTTGTGTTATGAGAGAAATGGGCGCCAAGGAGACGATAAAAGGAATAATAAAAGCTATTTCTCATGGGCGTAACAGATGTCTTAGTGTTCTGGAAAGTACGATGTGTAAAAACAGATTTACGAAAATCATAATGAGATTTGTACGTATTAATGAATTCTGGTCTAACGTTAATGTTAAGAAAAATTTTCTAAAAATTGTTTTCCATTGTCAGAGACAATTTAGAAGCATTTATTGATGGCAAATCATTCTTCAACGCAGTAAAACTGATTGTCTTAGAACTAAAAAATCTCGCATTATTGACTGTTCTCTTGCTTTTCAATTTTTCGCATACTGATTACATAGTATAGGGAAAGTTATGAAAGGTTCGGCAATATTTCGGCACAAAGTAATGTTGTAGGTCCCTGATACCAAAGAAGTGGATTCTTCTTCTATACGCACTAAATTACATTATCTAACACATTGTGTAGTCAGAATACACATTTTGTGAGACCTTGATGCAGAAAAATTGGTTTACGGCAAAACGCCTGCCCGTCCAGCCGTCCGTTTGCCTGTCCGTCTACCAGTCGCTATCAATGCTAACGACTACATCGCACACAGGATATTTACTAAAATTGATATTTCCCGATCTGGGTGGTGTCCCCTTGAGTTCAAAATGTGTACTTAAGTTTTTGGAGTACTTTATATAAAGCCTCGACGACATTTCCAAAACGTTCTAAAAAACAAATTCCAATTTTTAAGATTTTGTTCTCAAACAGAACAAAGTACACCAATAAAAATGCCGCGAGTCCGATTTTCATTAATCTGAATTTTCAAAAATTGTAAAAGTTAATTTTTTTTGTCCTCTTCCTAAAACAACGATATTGTAGATATAAATGTTTCTTAATTATATATATTCCTCAAAATTAGATGTTTAATTAAGGTCTTGTACAATTTAAAAAAATAGTACAACTTCGCGTAACTTTGCTTGATATCAAGGCAGTTTTAAAATCAAGATTTTCCCAAAGCGGATCCATTCTTTAAACTTTTGCAATGGATAGAGCAAAATGAACGGAATAACATCCCATAAACGTTTCTTGATTTAGGTGCTTTAATTATTCAAAAATTACTCAAATGTATGTTCAAGTAGTCTTTTCATATTACGTATTCGTTACAAATATTACGAGAACGTAAATGATGTTGTAGGATTACTGGTTTACTTTGAATCATCTCACTCGACCCATTGCGATTGGGAACTCTGTACCCGGTTTAATGCAAACTACATCTAGGTTTTGGATAGGCAACCCAGTAACCATAGTACACCAGTGAAATGCGGGTTGCATAAACACATTTCGTTCGTTTTCCCAGCAACTGAAGGGGTTTTGCGAACGACTACGCTGTTCAGTTTCTCCAGAATATATTGTTTAACGAAAATGGCATCTTCCTAGTCTCGATTGTTTGGGGTTGAATTCAACGAGAGAACTGTCTCGCGACAGCAATCTTGTAATAAATGACAGCAACTTCAGAACTATCGTAATATGATGGCTCCGGCTGCGGTTAGGTGGCGGCATGTGATTCATTATTGCCCTATACCTTATAAGTACGTTCAGATATACATGTAAATACCAGTGAACCTTGAGTATGAAAACATAGATCGCGCTTTTGGCTCCTCGCCGACATGCATGCAGTTTATTCAGATGCAAGACGGACGGCACTGACCTTGTGCCGGCAGCCCGCCAACCCCTGCCCGGACCGCGACCACAACCTCGGCCTCGTCCTCGTCCTCGAGCTCATCCTCACCGCCCTGGACCTCGCCGTCGTGGTCCTCCTACTCGCTGTCCCCGCCTTCCACGCCGTCCTCCCTGTCGGCGCCACCCTCGCCCGCGGGGACGGGGTGGTCGCCGCCGCCGCCCTCGCCGCCGCCGTCGCCGACGTCCCACCAGCTCCCGGTCCTGGACCTGCCGCGCGCGTTGCTGTGGTGGCGGCCCGGTACCTTTCCCGGCCCGCCCCCGCGGCGGCGCCGCCACCACCACCACCACCACCGCCGTCGCCGCCACCACCTGTCGGCGCCATCGTCACCCCCGACCCCGCCGCCGCTCCCGGTCCCGCCCACGCCCCGGCGGCCGCGCCCCTCACGGCGCGCTGCCCGCAGAGCCGCGCGTCGCGGGTCGCCGACCACCGCCGCCGCAGCAGCTGTCGCCTCCGCCGCCAGCGCCGCAGCGGCGTCTCCGCGAGCCGACTCGCCCGCGGGCGCTACCGCCCCTGCAGCTGCCGCCGCCGCCGCCCGCGTCGCGTCCCGCAGGTTTGTTCGGCGCTGCCGCCGCCGTGCCGTCGCCTATCCGTCCCTCCTCACACACACACACAAACAAACAAACAAACAAACAAACAAACAAACAAACAAACAAACACACCCCGCACTCCACTGCACACAGCGCCGCCCTCTTCACACGCTTTTGAGGGTCACGGTGGTCACGAAGGAAATGGCTAATGCGCAAATTAAATGCAACGGTCTTCGGAAAAGCAACTTTCTGTGTACTTTTAATAGCACGTGAAGGCTGACATAAACGAGTAGGAGGAGTTCACGAAGTTTCTGAGGACTTCTTGTGAACATTTTTGTGATTTCAGTTTTTTTTTTTTGTTTCGTTTTTATTTTCTCTCATTCCCCTCATATGTGAACTCGTGGGGTTCCGCTTTCGGAGCCATGTGAATTCTCTCGGCACACTAATGGACGTCGTCGCGTCATAAACCACTCAATGACCAGTCTTGATAAAAATCATGTTGAGAAGGCCAATGTGCTGGCAACACATACCAGGTGCTAAGAGAAAATCAAAGACCTGGCATTAGGAATAAGTCCCAGAGGTGCCACGCAAGTGTTAAAATTTTTGTCTGCCGTTAATGAAAGAAATTTAAAAATGTATATTCGTGTGGGTCAGTGAGGACTGATGTGCCATTAAGGTAGACAGACAGGCAATGAGGACAGACCGACAGGCTGTGGGGACAGTTGCTATTTATTTCTCTGATTACGGATCAGTGCATTTTAAGTAGTGCAGCATTGGTTGCTTGACAACCTCAGAAAAAGCTCATACTTTGTAAATAAATTCCCTCGTAGATTGATAGTTCACAATGGTTAAAAAAAGTGAAGTAATATTTGCAGCCAAAATTATCAAGAGATTGTTTCGATCATTTAAGAAATTACTCCCTGGAAATAAAAGTTTATTCATTTGCATTCGATAACTTTGGGTCGCAAATATTCCCCAAATAAAAACGTATTAAGTAGATAAATATCACTTTGATTTATTAGCCAGATTTTATCGAATTAAATGCATTTTAGTTTTAAATACTACAGCTACATAGTTCTGAGTAATTTACTAAACCATAAATGTCTACAAATGGGAAAAAAAAGTGTGGCTGAAAACAAACAAACAAGAACAGCCACCATTTGTGAACCAAGTACAATAAAATGTTTTGAAAACACAAAACATTTTTTTGGAATTTATATAGATAGTATGTGTATTTTTTAAAATAATGTGGGCAATTTATTTAATTCTGAATCACTTAAAATGGAATAATTGTTACTTTACATGAATGTCTTGGTTAAGACAGTATTGTTACTAATTTATTCCAAACTACTTTTCCATTTTCTTTGAAAAGATGAGTTATAGTCAAGAGTTAATGCAACTAATCTGATAATAATTCCATTAGAGGCTTGTTCTGTAATGAAGCTTTTTACAACATCTATATTGATTGACCTTCCTCACATCTTACATAGATACATAATTTAATAATTAAAAAAATTTGCATTTGCTGAATGTTTTTGCAATTACGATAGTGTTTTATCAGTATGTGAATAAAACCAGTCATGTTAATATGTTGATGAGAATATTTTAATTTAAAAATTATTGTATTAAACAGTTTCATAAACTTTAAAGTATTTACAAAACATGAATTTACCTTTAGTAGACAGTAAAATATTCAAAAGTTGAAATATTTCTGTATTCCAACCTTTAAAAACTGCCTGTTTTTTGGGCCCATTTTTCTTCTATTTTTCAATGTATGAAAGATACTCATGGATCAAGAAAAAATAAACTGAAATGATACAGGAATAAAATACACAGATAGTACTTCATCATTATTTATTGAATAACTATCACATTCTGTTGGGATGGTTTTTAGTGTTCTGAGTGCTGTGATAAGTGATAGTTAGTTAGGTGGTCATTAAATGTAGTGAATAGATAATGTGCAAACATTGAACCATTTTTATAATAGTTTCTAGTGAAACAATGTGATGTTTCAATAATTTTTAGCAATTAAAATGAATTACAACTGTAGAAGTATACATCGAACTCACTTGCCCTTTCTTTGTGACGCAGTTGCTCTCAACTCTATTTTTTATATTCATACCTTCTCTCTCTGATCCACACTCACCTGACTCAAACCCATCTTCACTTACACCCACCCAGATTCACACCCACCCACTATCACTTTCAACCACCCTGTGACCCTTTCCTTTAACCATTCCCACACTTATTCACATTAATTTGCTTCTACTTTCACCTTTACATTCAATTTATTTTGCTTTAATTTTATGTTCACTCATATTTCTTTCTGTGTGATTGATGTGGATTCACAATGAATATAGACACTATGCATTTTTTCAAATACTCTGAAATGTATTGAAGCCAATGAGATGAAAATGGAATGATTTACAGAATTTCAATTTTATTTATGTTGATTAGAACTAAGTTATACCCAGTCATAACCAATTTATGTTTTCTTTGAAACTAATCAGTGAAAAAATAAATGTTAAATTTAACACTCCTCAAAATACTTACATTATATTTTTGTGAAGTCATTTTGAGACAACTTTTATTTCAGCTTATATTGTTCTACCTTCTATTAATCATATCAATCACACTCTTGTGATATATATTGTAAAAAAATTGTTTATTTCTCATATAAATAGTCACCTTCTATGCTTGGATATCAAATAGAGAAATAAATTTTCTTTGAAATAAGCTACTGTGACCTTAACCTCAGAACTGGTGTGTGGTATGAAGTGGGTGCGGGGTGATCATTGTTGGGTGTGTGACGTTTGCTGGCATTTTGAGGCTCTATGAGGCCATGTATGTGTGGCCTGCCTGTGCCCTGCCTCTCCGGCCATCCAGTCATGCACGATCCCACACCTTCATTGCCTGTAAAGGTCCCATCCTTGCTCGCTACGTGTTTGTCTTGATTGCTTCTTCTGACTGCATCTGGAGGTCTTGGAGCTTTTTAATTTATGACTCGGGTGTTTTAAATGTTGTAAAGTTGTTAGAGCATAAATGTATTTTTATGTCACATTCATGAATGTTAGCTTGTTTCACCACTAGATATGAATTTTTCTTATAGAGACTTTATTTTTATTTTCTTCGTGAACTTCTTGTGTTACATATCAGCTTCTACATATGTAAGTGTAGTGTTTATTGTTGGGATCCTAAATAAAAAGATTTTGTTTTTAGTAATGTTTATGTAGCAACTTGGTGCTGTTGAAGAAACATTTCCTACAATTGTAATTTATATATTTTTTCATTATAGTGTTACACATTAATTGAGATAGAAAAAAAGGTTGTTTAAAAAGTTCCATGCCTAACACACAAGTAGTACAATTATCTATGACCTATGGATGTTTATATGTTGTTCCATTTATTCAAAAGTTATATCTATATCATGAGTTTGGATGTGCTTAAATGATTTCACTTAACAGTTTATTAAATTGAGTATTTTCGTATTGGTAAATTAAAAAAACTCGATGTTGCATAATTAATGTTGAAAAAGAAGCATTGTGTAATTGTTAATTGTAATCATAAAATCATCATTTGTGAAGTGACAAATAAAGATCATTGCTGCATCCATTAAATGTTGAGGAAAGAATCAGGCATGAAGGGTGAAAAAGGGTGCATGATGGATGCTGTGTTTGCTAGTGGTGGTGCCCAGAACACAATTTTGGATCTCCTTCCAGTATATGATTGGTACAGTTAAATTGCAAAATTCAGAAAATATTTTGTTGCTTTGTTACTGAGAATTAATGATTGAAGTCATCAAAGGTCAACTTTCTAAAGAAGGGAATAAAAATATAAAATTATCATCTTATTTAACTAAATTGTTTTAAGACTATGCTCCTGCCCACAAATTGATTTTTGCAGTAGTGATTTATTAATTAAAGTGGAAGGCATCAGATTTGATATCTGCCCTATTCCAAAATATGAAGAAATGTAACTGCTTCTGACAATAATCTCAACAGTACCCTTACGGAGATGTCCAAGCAACAGTCACACAAGTGGACATGTGGCATTTAGAGTACACCATTTCATTTGCTTGGCTTATCAGCATCTTAAATGTATTTTGACTAAACATTTTCAAATAAAAAAATGTATGACTCAATTTTTTTTAACACTTCCACATTTAGACAATAAAATTTAACTAAAGAAACAAAAAATAGATTATCAGTTCAGAGAAATTTTTTCTGAATTTGTCATTTCTTAAAAATTGTTATTTGTGATGTTTTAGAAATTTATCTTTTGAAGGGCATCATTTTCCACTTCATAATTTGTTGTTTCATGTTGCACGATTTATTGTTTCTGAAAATGATTTTAGAAAAAGTGCTCTCCTCTAGTTTCAGGTGACGTGACACTGTCACTAAAGCTATTGCATTAGTCAAAATTAATTGAGCTAAGGAATGCAAAAATACATTTTTTTTTTTTTTTCAGGTATTATTGTGTTACCTTTATTGGGCCTGAAATTTTTTGAGTAAACCTAGTTTTTTTTAGATGGATAGTATTGTTGAGGGAATACCACTCATTTATTTCAAAATGTATTTATGTAATGAAATAATTACCTTACCTGAAAATAATTTATGCAATGATATTGTGATTTAATGTTGATCAGGTTCCAAGCTGCTGCTTTATATGTATTAAATGTGTATGCATTAAGTGTGCCATTATGTGTTGCTTTGTGTTTACTTTATTATTGTATTTAACAATATGTGATATGTACATGTGTGATTAATGTTGTAATTTGACAATGGCAAAGATATACAATTTTTATTATGCAAATTTGATATTACAAAAAGTTAATTGATATGTCAGTGAAGATGTGGAGGGAATAAGGTAAGTCTTGCTTTAAAAATCCCATTTATAACTCATGTATACTTGTCCCTATTTAAAGAGTCATAAGAATATACAATTCTTCACAATACAATGTGTTAGGTGTTTTGTGCTGTGGTGTCAATGGGAAATATGTACAGGGCGCTGACAGGAGCAGGAGGATCTACAGGACCAGCTTCTGGCCTTACAGACGCCCGAGCTGTGGGGTTGTCAGAATTCGCTCAGCATGTTCTTCGGCAGATTTGCAGTCAAGAATGGGTGTTGGAACGATGCTTGCAGAACCCAGAGGAATTGTGTGATCAGGACATGCTACTTGACAATATGCTCACTCCCAAGCAGGTAATTAATTGATTTTAATAGAAAGAGGTGGCATTCTTGGTGTTCTTCTCTTATTGAGCACTTAATTTGAAATACGCAGAAAATATAATTAATTGTCATAATTCAGTTGATAAGGTGGGTCAAATGTGACTGAGCTTGATTTTTTTTTATCAAGTATTGTTATTACCAAAAACATCTTTCCACATGCCTCCCTTCAAAGTACTACCCTCCAAAGCCTATATTTTTTCCAACTGTCTGTGTCTTTTCCATAGAAAGTTTTTTTGTTTCCTGCATATATACTCAAACATGGGCAATGAGGGGATCACTATCTGCAAACTTCCTGCCTTCCAAGATGGATTTATGCATTCCAAACAGGGAAATGTCACTTGTGGCCAAATTGAAACTATACTGTGTATGTGGCAGAAGGCCCATTTTAAGTTGTTAAGGGTTACTATAGTTTTCTTGGCTAAATGCTACCATGCATTGTCTTGAAGAAATACTATTCGAAGACACCTATCTTCTGCTTGGATCACATCTTTTCCTTTATTTTTGTTTCTAGAAGTTCTGAATAATAAGCTGCATTGATTGTTTTGGCTTCTGTAAGATTACTTGCACAAGCCCCTTTTAGTCCTAAAAAACACAAACACACACACACACACCAACTTTGCCATCACTTTTCCTGCTGAATGAGTCCTCTGCACTACCTCATGTGTTGGAGAATAGGTGTGTTGCCACTTATTCACCATGCATTTTCATCTATCTTGAAAGCTCTAACACCATTCAAACACATGGGTTCATGAGAGACACTTTGTCTCCATGCTATCTTTCAGGACTGCCAAATGTCAGATTGGACATTTTCTTAAATGGTAAATTTTATCACAGTGAGTTGTTCCATATTATGCAGCACTTCTGTTCACTCATCAGTCTAGCAACATCTAGACGTGACTGAACACTTTGGATCCTTTATTGGAGAGTAGGTATTGGATTGCTATTCTTATCAGGATGCTCAGCTACTGCATGTGGTTAGTGGTAGGTTGTCTGAAAAATCAGTTTGTAGTTGCTCTAAGATTCCTTGGCAAGTTTTAAAACTGAATTTTACTGATTCATTTTGATTTGGTAATTTTTAAATTAATACAAGAATAATTTAGATTATCAGGATCTTCTTCAATATCCTCTGGCTGTAATTGTTTTCATTTTTGTTAAGATGAGTAAATTATCTTGAGATTTTTGATGTAATGATCAATGTATGTAATGATGGAAAAATACCAAAACCTCAAAAGCATTAATGGAGTACTTTGCTAAACCAACAACATCTGTATATATGGCCATTAAAATTAGGTTCAATAAAAAGGTCTGCTTCTCAAAAGTTGGTAGAGTTCTGGAAATATTTTTAATCACTTGACTAGGTCTCTGATACAGGTGATAAAGTTTGTCCCAATTTGGAAGTGCATTTTTAGTGGTTATGAGAAGTAAAAAAACACTCAACATTTGTATACTTTTCTCTGTTTTTCCTGAAATTCCTCTGAAAGTAAATGTTAAAGCATTAAATTCTACCGTGATTGCTTATCAGTACTTTGCAATTTGTCCAAGTAGTTTTGGGGAAACAATATGTCTGAAAACTCCAATTTTTGTCCACTTATCCAAGAACGTTCATTTCTTTGTAATTTCATTGTTTGTTTCTTAAACAGATTTTTTGTTTTTAATTATTTTGAAGTTATTAAAAGTACTACAATGGAGGTACAACCCGATTGTGGGCCCAATATTTCCAAACTTAACTATGTGAAATAAATTTTTGCCAGTTGAGAGGTGAGGAGTTAGTTCTTTCATTTGCGGTGCATTAAGAATGTCACTCGTGCCAATGGCCATCCCTTTTACGTAAAATCATACCATTTATACTTGCAAGGTATGATTGAATTGGAAATAAAACTTAGTCATCAGGAATACAAGCTTTTGTAATAAAGAGATAGTTCACAATCCAAAGACAGAAATGTTTTGGCGATCAATTTGGTCCAACATGGCAATTAAAAGAACAATGATGCCTTTTTGAAAAGCACTGGTGGCTTAATGCACAGCAGGGATTAACAGATAGCTCTCTGGCGAGAGCAATTTCTTCATTGTTGCAGTTGACATCATAGACTAACTCAAGCAGTTTTATGGTGTTTCATTTGCAACTACTTAGTAGCATAAGGATGATAGAAATGTGAAAATTCAGAGACAATGGAGGTGCCAAAAAGTTGTATGCCTGATTTAGGTTACATGTTCCTTTTCTCTTTTGTGAAGCTACAGTGTCCATTAGCACTGTTATAGTGAGGGAAAACAAATTGGCACAAAGCTGGTAGAATTGGCAGTTTACTCATTTCAAAGATCATTGGTGGCAACTTAAGCAGTGTGAACATTGAAAGAAAATGTCGAGACTTTTCTCTAATAGGTATATGTCAAGTCAGAATTCAATCCTTTAAATGCTGAAATGATTTTTCGGCAGATTTAATTTGCATTCCACCAAAAGACCAATGAAGAGCTTGAGCAATATTTTTAGTATGAGTTGACCCTACAACTTCTATTATTGATGACATTGATTTGTAAAAAATACTAGAAGATGTTTACAAACTGTTTCTTACCTGGAAAGATGAAATTGAGTTTGAAAAGGCATATTTCATAATGGAAGGAGGATTTCTCTTTCTTTGAGTTGTACAGGTGCCAAAAGAATCATGTTAGCAAAATTTGTAAATTTGCTTTTTAATTCATTGTTATTTTTGGGGTAGGTCTTGTGATATATAAAATCATGTCATTTTGTTGCATATTATATTGTTATTTAATAATATATTGTTATTTTATGTTATTAATTTATTTGGTTTTGTTACACACAATTTTATATCAGTTTGCATGTTAGACGTGCTGAAACAGAAAATACCAGTATTTTCTGTTGCCACTAACAAATGCTAGTTCTGCACCAATGCTCAATCTGAAATGCTGATTCTGGAGGACTGCGACAAAGATTCTGATTTTCTGGAAAAGTAACATTGATAATGATTTGAATAAAAATGAATTCAAAAAATAAATGAGGAGTTGATGATATTGGAACCACCATCCCCCAAATGTGTAAGAAAGTAATTTTTTCCAGTTAAGTTTCTTGGTGCCTTCTTGAATTTTCTGAAAACAGAGTTAAATACTCCAAATCTCTGTTGGCCTGCTATTCAGATGATAGAGATGTAGACATGGGGTTTTTCTTATTTCAAGGAAATAATACTTCTTTGAGGGGATTCCAAAGCTGCATTGTCTTGAATTATCTAAGGTGTTTTATCTACCATTTGCACTTTTATTTAAAGTAAAAGATGAACTGCTGCATTAATTTTCATTGCCTAAGTGATTGGCGGGTTTGATTTCCGTACAATCCCCATAGAACCATCTGTGAAATTTGTTACGACAAATGAGTTTGCATGCTTCACAGGGGTGTGTCCAACCCCTATTATGTGTTTTAAACCCTATCTCTATCCTAATTCCTTCCCAATTCTGGCTGCGGGGTAGTGGCGAGGGTAGACTTAGAACTTTGGTTATGCCAAAGTAACCATTAAATATTGCATATTTTTTGTACAGGCCCAAAGACTGCTGCATATGATTTGCTATCCAGAACAGCCCGCACTCACAGACGAGATGTTGGATCAGAAAGTAATAATCACTCGCATTTTAGAGGTAAGAATGAACAAGGTTTGGATGAATATTTTGTAGAAGAGATTTCCGCAGCCTTTTATTTCATGACTTCTTTGAAGATTTTGGAATTTAAATTTTCTATTTTATTATGAAATGTTTATTTCGAGTCAGTAAATTATTGAATTTGAACTATTTATGATAGTGTAGTTATTTTGTTTTCGAGGAAAAAGATAATTAAGGAACAGGAAATGTTGATGAATAACTAAACACTGCCTGCATGGTGGAGCAAAAGGTAAATGGATTCGATTACGATCCGATCCGATCCGATCCGATCCGATCCGATCCGATCCGATCCGATCCGATCCGATCCGATCCGATCCGATCCGATCCGATCCGATCCTTAAGCAGATATTGTTATTTATCTGGTAACAGTAAGACAAATTCCCGAATCCCAAATAAAAGGAAGTAAATATCTCTTATGGAAGTTTTTAGAACCAAAATGTACAGAAGGTCTGCCTAACTCACAAGTATAAATTTATCATGGTGGATCAATCTCGGTACCAATTTGGGCTATTGTTGGGTTAAATAAATAAGGAAGTATCACATACAAAATTAGGGTATTTATGGCGGAGTAATTGCCTAGAAGGACGAGGGGAAATCACTACAGACATTATCTAGACCAATTGTGCTCTTTTTGGTAAGAAATTTTTGCAATTAGACCTATTACAAACACCAGATGCTTTTGCTAGCTTCAGTAACAGGGATATCTAATATTCTGTGCTGGGAAATATGAAATTCATTGTACAATTTTAGGTTCTCTTGAATAGTAAAATTTTTTTATTGTCAAAGTGTTAGAAAAGTAGGTAGGAGAGACACTAAAGGAACAAAATATGCAAGTTTTGCCTAAAACAGAGAGAAATAAATTGTGTAAATAAATATTTTTTAGGTTCAGTTGCCCTTCTATCCTAATAATTTAACTTTACCAAGTTTTTCTTGATAAATATTCAAATGTTTTAATTTACCATTTCATTTTTAAATCCTATTTTGAGGAAAAGTCAATCAATGTTCAGCATCTATAATTTTTTGCAGAATCTGGATCAATGGACATTGCGAATGAGCTGGTTGGATCTGCAGCTCATGTTCAAGCAGTTCCCTTCAGGTTCAACAGAGCTCAGTCAGTGGCTAGATTGTGTTGCCAAGGCAGCAATTGATGTTTTCCAACTAACAGGCATGCCAACTGAATCCTCTGTGTCCATTAAAGAAGAGCGTGGATCAAATTCTTGTGGAGGTAGTCGAGCTCTAATAGTTTCCCCTCCAAGACCCGTTCGACCTGGCTCTATCTGGCTTGTAGCTCCACTTGTTTCTAAATTGCCGAGTGCAGTACAGGGAAGAGTGTTGAAGGTGGCAGGTAAGTCGAGTGATTTTTGAGTTGTAGATAGAAACTTTATTCTAGTTAGGTTTATATTACCGAGTGGCATAATACAGATAAGAAAAACATATTTACAATAAATTATCCTTCATCCCTTACCTAGCTTATGCATGCATCTAAGTGTGCTGTAGAAAAGTTACAACATAAGCACTATTTGGCAAATCCACCCCCTCCTCTAAAACAAATATTGTTTCATCTCATTGAGGCCCTACTTATTCTGCAAGACTAATAAAAGGAGAGATGCCTACATATTCTGGAACAATACAACTACTATTCACGCCGAACAGAAAGTTAACCATATTTCAGAAAACGTAATTGAAAAGTCATAAATTTACCAACATCTAGACACGTATGTTTAAGCAGACTAAGCAGGATATTCTGCTGTTCACCTTAATTTAAAAATATAATGCATCACCTATAATAATGATGTTTTTGTAGAGAGATGAATGTTTGAAACATTTGCTGGATGTTGATTTTATATACACTCGCTAATCTTTCCATTTACATACCTCATTCTTTGAACTTAAAAACATCCCTTATTTCATCAGTGGTTGTGAATTCTACAATGTTTAAAAACCTTACTTCGCTACCTATAACCTCACACTCACACATGCTCGCTCAATCAACAATATTGAATGTTGTTGGTCTTGAAAACAACCTAATGCACAAAAAAAGGCATATAAATGTTCATCTTCTTATTTTTCAGGTATTATTAAAATTTAGTATTTATACTGATCTAATTGATATTAACAAGTAATAACACATTTGAGCACCCCACCTTTAATTTACAGCTAGTCATGAGATTTGGTTGGATAGAAGACTTTAGATAGAATAAGTGATAGAAGAAGTAATTTTAAATATAAAGGTGATATGTTTATTATTAACATGTGCAGTTAAATCGCGTAGGATTTCAAATATTCAGTTTAATTTAACATAGATTTCATGATTCCAATCTTACCACAGAGGGAGAGTACCAGAAAAGCCAACGCTCCCAAACTGTAATAGAAAGTCCTGAACGACCTCCTTCTGTTACAGCATGAGAGGTATAACGAGTCTTTTGACCTCAAAACGTTTGGCCATACAACAATGTTTTCAAGTTATCCATTTTCAGTGTCAGGAAACACTGTTCTATCAATGTGTCAATACAGACTGCTGCAGTCAGTTTGTATTGTAGGCTGGGTTTGCCCATGCCTCATTTAGATATGTTTTTCAACAAATACTTAATGTAAATTGTAAAGTTAAAGTACAATTCATTGACTCTCCATTAAATTATCTTTCCTTTGATGCTTCATGTAGTTAGGTTGATTGAATTTAAGAGCTCAAAAAAAAAAATCTGTACTATAAAAATAACACAGGCGACTCTGTACCATAGCTGCTGTTCTAGTTATTACTCTTTACTTGCAGGCCAGGTGCTGGAGAGTGGAAATTGGTCATCCAAGAACCGTGAGCGCGATCGTGAACGTAGTGGTGATCGTGAACGAGGTGGTGGAGGAAGTTGTGGAGGCGGCTCTGGTGGCAATTCAACAGGCACTGCAGTAACTGGTGGTGGTGTAACACAGCGTACATCCTCCCTCCTGAGCCACCAGCCTTTCTTATCATTGGTGCTCACTTGCCTCAAAGGGCAAGATGAACAGCGGGAGGGCCTACTTACCTCACTACATTCCCAATTGAGCCAGTCCAAAGATGTGAGCATCCTTTAAAGCATACTTTAAACTACTGCTTAAATTGGAATTACTATTACATCAATTTACCTGTTTAAGTTGTGTATTTGTAAAGAACTCATGTTTCTGTTTGTGGCTATGAAGAAAAGTAGTTGCCAAGTTTGTCTTTTGTATCTTACTAAATTTCAGCTGATAGTATGTTTCATTTTTCATCACCTGTGTTGAATGTTTGGATAGTTTTAACTGAAAGACATTATAGTTTCTTAGTTGTATTATCATGTGAGATTTTGATTTTCATTCAAAAGGACAAAATTTAACTCTCTGTCAATTGATTTATCATTAAGAAATTTGAAATATTTTTATTAAATTCTCAGTCCTTGTATTTAAGAGGATGAAAGTGAGCGAGTGTCTCTTTAAAGAATAGAGAGGATGGACGGGGTTCTTCAGATAGTTAAGCAATCAAAACATAGTGTCTTTGCTGAAGAATGGAATCCTGGTTTAGATACTAAACTGTTGAATAACAGTCGACTCCAGTTATAGTGAACTTGTGAGGACTAACATTTTTGGTTCACTACAACCAAGGATATCAAAATTAAACAGAATTTCTCCATAATGATTGATTTTATTAATATAGAGATATAGCAAAATACGTTAACGACATGAAGTGAAAAGTTCAACATCTTTATTAGTCGTTAAAAAATCAATTTCTTTTCAATTGTTTGCTTTGTACTTTTTCATTCCATCTCCATTTTATCTCCACTGTTCCTGCTCTCTCCATAATTGATTCTATATTGTCCTTTGTGGCTAAGTAATGCAGTCTTTACACTCTTCAGTGCCTTTTGCATTGTTGGAATAACGCCCCATCTCTGAAGGACTATTTACTCGTCTAATAACATACGAGATGCTTTCGGTTGCGGGATGGCACAAGTGGCTAATGAAACTGATCACTTTTCTTTGCAGCATGGTGTATATTGCCAGGCTGTCAGTCACGTGCTTTCTGTTGCGTACATAGAATTCAATGCTCTTTGACCCACGGAATATCAAGGAACACCTAGATTGATACTGAAGTGTACGCACAATACAATTGTGCATCGCTACCACCAGTTGTGGTCTTTGTTTCCGCAATGAAACTTGAGAGTCATAAGGTCATCGGTATGATACCCATTCCCTGTCGCCTACCTTTACCCCAGAGGACAATGCTTCTATCATAGCTTTTGGCTGACATTTTTTTCAAGCAGCCTAGTATTGGAATATATTGTTTATATTGACAGGCAATATATTGTTTTCCAGGGGAAAATTAATTTCCATGACATTGTAATTCATATGTTCACTATAGACGAGGTTCAGGTTCACTATAACAGAGTCTTCTTATTTGTAATCCTTATTTGTATGCTTATTTGTAATGTAAGTGAAAAGGACCAGTGACTTAATTTCACTATATCCGGAGTTGCCTGTACTTTGAAAATCTGTATCAAACATGTTTTGCACAAACAGGAACGGTCTGCTTGGCTGGATGATGTCAAAGGTCGTGCCTTGATGCAAAGTGCACTGCAACTACGTTTCAGCCTGGTGGGAGGTATGTTTGATACTATTCAGAGGAACACAACTGCTACTACGGATTGGGCAATATTACTTGTTCAACTTATTAGTTATGGAGTAATTGATCTCAACAATAACAGGTAATTCTTCCTATGAAATGCTTTGATTTTGATTTGCTTGTTAATACTCTTTATAAATGTGAGATTAATTTAAATAAGTTGTTGTGAACATCACACGTCTTACATATCTGAAATAATATAACATTATTGCGGTCATAAAAACATGAGCGTTCTCAGAAGCTTGTTATTGCCCTTTCATTTGTTTAATGTTATATATAAAGGAATTTTCATGCATAATTTGTTTTGTGTATCTGTCTGCTTTTTATTAAAATTTTGGTTCTTGCTTATATTTGTGTGTATGGTGTGTGTAGTAGCTGTGTGTTTGGGGTATGTATAATGATAAAATATTTTCTCTTTGTCTATTATAGTGAACTCTTCACTACTGCCATCGATATGCTAGGTACCCTTATTCACTCCACTTTAGTATCTGATTCACAGTCAGAGAAAGAAGAAAATCGAAAACATTATCAGAATCTCATGAAAAAGTTGAAAAAGGTTTGTATTTAAAATTGTTATTTATTTCAATAAAGTTGAATTGGTCACTTCATAGATTTATTCATGTCTCTGAGAAACTTCTTAATGGTATTTGTTGCTTAGAAACATTGCAATTATGATGTAGGAAGTCTATGATTTGTCATTTGCCTTATCAACACTCTCTTGTTTCACAAATATTATATTCTAATTACAATTTTTAGCTAAAAAGAAAGAAAGTATAGAAAAAGCACTGAAACAAAGATGTTTTAACAAATATTAATATGATTTTTTTATTGAAATGGTTAGCGGGGTAATATTTATTGTACTTAGGTATGTTACGGAACAAAAGATTTTACAAAAATGTACCTAATGAGAGAAATTACATATTTGCTTCAGAATTACTTGTACTGTATTTTAATTAAACGTTAACTTATTAAGTCATCAAAATGGAAGTCCTTTTAATTCTTGATATACATGAACTTTGAATTTAAAACATTCTTCTTCTGAAAGAAAAGTTGAGACTTAATTTCTTTCAGAATAATTACAAAGAAAATGTTCATTTAACTTATAGTACGGTTAGTACAGTATGGTAAATGCAGTTTTTTGTCTGTTTTATTCATAATTAAGCAGTTCTGCAGCATATACTTCAATAGAATACGTTGTTTTGTTTTTTTTTAGGAACTTGGGGATAAATCTTCTCCATCCATCCAGCATGTGCGTCAGTTGTTGCCTCTTCCTAAATTGACTGCTGAGGTTGTAGCTTGTGAACCCATGGGATGCCTTACTGACACCAAAGGCAACAAAATCACAGGTTTTGACTCCATTGATAAGAAACAAGTAAGTACATTTCCAATGCAATTTCACGCTAGTTAATTTCATACAGTGGAATATCATTAGCATGATTTTCAAGGTAATGAACATTTTGTGTGTTGTAAGCAAATAATTTTGAAAATGTGTTATCAAAAAATGCTCAATCAGTCGTTTCAACATTTCCTCAAAATTACTTTAAAATAGTTGTGCTATGCTGGGTAACATTGTGAAAGGGAACATGCTAACCGAATTCCTTTGATTAGTCTCAAGAAATTGAACTTCTTTTACTAGTGTAGTGTTCAATTTAGTTTCTTCTTACTATGCCAAAGTACAAAATGAGGAATATTAGTTGATGACGTTGTTTTTTTCTATTACAATGGATGAGCATAATGCTTAAAATTATTGAAAATGTAATGCTAAGAAAATGAAAGGATTTGAATTGTTTAATTTTTTACAGAAATTAATTCAAAATTCCCTCATTTCCAAAGTTCTTAATTTTGCACACTCATGATACATTGGCTAGGTACCCATTTCAAATGTAAGGTATATCATAATTATTGCATCAGCTTTTGTGGAAATGTATTTTTCGCTATTTCCTTAAAGGCTTTCTCATGATACGTTACTATACTCTAACAGTGGCTTGTTATGTTTTAAACAAATCCATTTTTTGGACAGCCCCTAGTAAAAGGAGTTACATTTAGGGCAAGCAAAGCATGCTACAAGTTGAACTTTTAGCAGTAGCGCTGAAAGGGAGAGGATCTTCAAATGTTCAGATGAAACTGTGAATTCAACAAAGAAAAAACACAACTTTTGTCTGATTGCATTAGCTATGCTTTAATTGAAATAAGATGAATGTCAGAGGCTGCCAGAAAAATAAAGTATGACACATGTGATTAAGTTGTTTTATTTTTCTCATAGGATTGCATCACTCGGTCTGTTGGCCTTATGTTGCAACATTTCCGCACACAAAACAAAATGACACACTTACCAAAAGTATCAGGAATACATTAACACCTCCCTAAAGCAGAACCTCTTTAAGACAGAAACCTGCCATCTTGGACAAAAAATCTCATAAGAAAACAAGTTTATACCTCAAACTAACTTCCATAAGCCAGAAACCTGTCTAACACCGAAATTTATTTTTTAATTTCCAGCACTATTTTTGGAATGGCATAGTGCGTAGGGTCACTTGCTGAGAAAATAGGGTAAACAATAAGTTATTCATCTTATGCCTGCTGTTGGGAAATTTTTGGCGAACACAGCGACTGTTTTGCTGTTAATTGCTCATGCTTTTGTGTGATTTTGAAGGCCTCAGCATGTGTAACTTCATCGCTGTTATTCCATATGCTAAACGTTGGTTGTCTGTACCCTGTTCAATTCTCAAAAACTTCACCACATTTCCTTCAGTCGACAATGGAATTCTATGAAGTCTGTCTTGTCATGCTAGTGTAGCTGCTGTAAGGTTAATGACCTGTAGACCACACAATGTAGTGACCTCTCACAGAGTTGTTTCCGAAAGCTCTGTGTGTGTGTGTGTGTCAAAGTGTGTTTGAAGTGTATGTGCGAAAAATCCCTTCTGCTGCAGAAGAAAAAAATGTTCTTCTGAAACCCTAATTGTGAAATTCAGAGTGAGTATATTTATGACATTTTAAGAATTAAAAGACAAAATTCTAATTGAATGGTTAAAAGGAACAAATTATTGAAAATACTGTACACAAGTTATATAGTGAATTTTTGGCAACCCTCCATCAGATGGAAATCTGCCAAAACAGAGGAACCGTCAGGTTCCATCTTAAACAATATTTACTGTAACTATACATTTCCTTTTTTTTCTCTTTCATTGCTCTGGAAGGTTCTCAAAAATTTGAGTGCACTATTCTTTCCATCTAAGATTTTTGCTTTCTTTTTACACAGCATTGGTCAATTATGTTATTTATCATAGCTATTAATTACTAGACAATTTTTGGTTTCCTTACTTTTCACTTTTTTCTTGAGAGTCAGTCATTTTACTTACTTCAATTTACTCAGTCTGGTAAGTGTACTTTTCCTTACTAACTGGGACACAACAATAACTTCAGACAATGAAGGCATTTACTGAATAATGATTCACTCAACAAATGTGATGTTAATGATTCATGGTATCCTTGAATACCAAATATTTTTATTTTTGTAACTATTTAAGTCCATAAAAATATTTCTATTATAGAAAGAATATGCTGGTTCATTTCACCCACTGTCAGCTCTTTAAATGAATGCCACGTGGTTCCTGCTAGATTTTGGAAATTTGGGGATATTAAAATGGTTTATTGTAGCCTAATGTAAATATTTGGAAACAAAATTAATTCAAATTTTCTGACTTAACTCACATTTATTGACTTATTACTGCCATCTATTTATTACAAATGAGAGCATGAAGGCTCATGGCATGAAGTTGACATAGTTATTACATTCACGACTTAAACAGTCAAAGTTGAATATTAGTATGGCACACTCTGAAGATGGTAACAATCCACGCTAATATTCATGAATATTTTTAGGAATGGATAGGTTAAACTAAACAGTTTTTCCCCCTCAGAGGCCAGCTTCAACAAAGCTCTATTCCTTGCCCCTCCTGATGTTACATCTCTTCTCTATCATCTGTAACTAGGGTCTTGGGAGGGGCAACCCCCTTCTCCCCTTCACTGAGCCGGTACCCTACCTACCTCAATAACCACCTATGATAGCTGCAGCCCTTCTCAGCAAGTTCCTTGGTTATCACCTTCACACAGCTGTGATCCATGGATCTTTAGTGGAATGATGGTTAATGATATAGCATAGGAAATGAATGATGAAGCTACTGGTGGAATGCATATTGGCAGGGGAAACAGGAGTACCCCAAGAAAACCTGCTGTGATCCTGCTTTGTCCTCCACAAGATCCATATGGATCAGTGATAGAAGACTCATAAATTTGCACCTCTACCTGAAGAACAAATTACCAAAGTAGCATTTGAAATTACTCATGTTCATTAGAAAAGATGCCACCTCTAGGAGTCGATGGTGACACATCCTCCAGTCCATACTTTCAAACAGCGCAAGAATTTCCCTTCCTTATTATACATTCCTCCATGTAGGGGTTCTGGCAGAAACACAAAATTAGATCAATGAACTGTGTGTGAATGACTTGCTTGTGAACTGTCGCACAGGGCCTCCAGGTGGCTGAGAAGCAGCGGGTAAACCCTTGGGACCTTCTGGAGGGACATCGCAACCCGGCACCCCTCTCTTGGGCCTGGTTTGGGGCTGTACGCATGGAGCGCAAGCCTTTGTGGTATGAAGATACCCACCGACTTTTGCGTTATCATACTCACAACCTCACCAAGCCAGCCAGCTACTACTTGGATCCGCCACCATTGCCTCCTGAGGATCTTGAGCCTCCACAGGAGAAGCCAGTAAGTGGCAGCTCAGCCAAACCCGCACGCACTGCCCAGGCTGCCTAGCTTCTTGCCAGTCATTGCCACAGTTCAGGGTTTAGAAAAGTGTTCTGGGGCTCGCTTAAATAGTGGAAATAAATATAGAGGCAGTATGTAGAATTTATTTCGTGTTTGCATTTGGATTTCTTTATCACTGGTATTGTATTTGAACATCTCATATATAACATGTAATACACATTACATTCAGATTTATTATTGTGTGTTCAATAGTTAATGTGTTTCTTGTTGCTTTGGGACAAGTGTCCTGTAGCAACTTACTTCACTAACTGCAGCTCTAATAAAGATTCAGTGATAAATACTTTTAACACTAAATCACACAACGTGCCTGTTTTGGTTACACTCTTAATTCTGTAGTAGCCTTCAGTATCTGATATGTACATAAATATGCTAATATTTGTCAGTTTTGGACAGCTCCCAAAATGCATTGGTTTCATAGTATTTTTAGCTTAAATAGCATCACAAGGGGGTCAGTGAAGCAATACTTTTTGAGAGCCATCCAATCTCAACATTTATTGCATGTACATTGCAATGTCTACTCAAAACAGTATGAATGTCAGCAAAATCATTCTAAAATTCCACTCCAAATGCTTTTAAATTATGCCTTTAGTATTTGTTGCAGTTAGTGTAACGTGTAATTGTGCACTTCCTGGAACAGAAAAATAAATTGATATCAGGCTCCAAGAATTTAGTTTAGATGGTAATTACGGCAATGTTTCTCTCTCTCTCTCTCTTCTTCCTATTGGTTTAATTAAATTTTTTATACATATGTAAGGCATCTTTGCTTTTGGAAACTTGCACGTTTTGTTTCTTCAGATCGTGGAGGGATGATAAGGTACTGTCATTGCTTTGAGCATTTTACAAGTCCTAAAAGGTCATTATTTGTTTTGATGTTATTTAATGACTCAATCAAATTAGATCAGTGTTATTAGTTTTCTTGATAGGTTCACCATCATTTTCATTATAAATTTTATTGTTTCTTCATCAGACACCTCATTAGAAAGTTATGCATTCTAGAATGCATTGGATTGCAGTCTGGGCAGTGCAGAGCCTGTGTGTGTGGCCTGCTGTGAATGCTATGAGTGTGCAGGTTTCCTCCAACCCCTGAACCAAATTTATTCAGTCCTCTTGCTAGTCTGTAACCAGGCATGGAAGCAGGAAATTCTAAAGATTCAAGTTGTTATTAACAAATGATAATGTTTGAAGTTGTTATAGTATGTAGTTATAACATTATCCTTTTATATGTGTGAATGTGTCTGTATGCATGAGTATGTGAGAGATGTTTGAGAGAAAATATACATTCCTGCTAGCTACAATTTTCAGAGGGGCTGCATGGCTTTATGATATTTAATTAAATTTTAGCAATTAGTGCTTCTAATTAAGTTTGAGCCCATATAATATTTTTATTGAATTTTTCTCTCTCTTTTCTTCTCTACTTCATTAAATATGTGCTGAAATGCAGTAAAGAAGAACAAAAAAAATTCTGTGTGATTTATAGAAAGATAACATTTTTTGTTTTTTAAAAATTCTTTTTATCTCTTCACACTCTGAGAAAAAATGAAGCTTTTCGTGAAGCACTTTCCTTTTATGCCTTTGATTAATATTTCTAAAATTTGTTAAGTAAATATTACTAATATTTGTGGTAGCTGTAGCTGCATGGTGATTGTGATTTGGAATGCTTGATCAATGTAAAAATAGTCCGTTAAATATTCCATAAATCATTATGTGAAACGAAAGTAGTTTTTAAACCGAGTTTGTAATACAATTCTTTAGTTTTGGATGTATGTTTCTGTTCATTAATAGGTTTTGAATCTAGGGTAAAAATTCATTTACAAGCAAATGGTTTTGAAATCAATTCAGAAAATAAATTGATTTTTATTTTGTCCCAATTTTTGAGAGTTGAAGTTAAATTGCATGTGTATTTTTTTCATTTCTTTGTTTTAACTTCTAAATTGCTATTTAATGGGTAGTACCTAATCTATCGAAGTATTTGGAGATTGAATATTTGATCTTTTTGTTATATTCATAGGCAATTAAAAATATTAGATATGCTCAGGATGATCTAATAAATCTACAGAAGTTATGGATTTTAATAATTTTTAATCTTACAATAACCTGTGGCAGAGGGAGGGAATTTAATTGGGATGGCATTGTTTATTTAATGAAAGAAACTTTCTCTATGAATGCAATGACAAGTTGTTTAATCTTCAGAAAGAGTACAAAGTTATGTTAATAATCAACATACATTTACTTTCTTGTATGCTATTTTTTGATTAACCTTTTTCCTTTATAGAGCAAAGAACATTTTTAAAAAATGGTTCAGATATCATTTCCATTTAACTCTGAATTTTGCAAAATTGAAGAAGTTCAAATTTTTTGTGGCATCTTCCCACAACTACATTATTGAAGACAGATTTTTTTCCTTAATGAAATTGGTTCTTCAAAAACAGATGGAGGTCATACACAATTTTTAAAAACAATTACTACAGTTGTTGGCACAAAATATAGAGAGTTTTTAAACAGTTATTTTCACAAAAAGGCTCCAAATTGTTTTTTTTTTTCTTTTTTTTTCTTTTTTTTTTTTTTTTTTCCTCAAATAGAGCAAAGTATACCCATAAAATATGGCAGAGTTCCCAATTTTGGTGAACTCTCTGTATTTTTGAAAATTGTAAACAAGTAACATTACTAAGGTACAATATTCGTCATGGAGTTTGTTTCCACAATGAAATCTATTCTAACGTATTAGGTCTTTAAGTTAGATCATGTACAATTTTTTTTTTAAAAAACAAATAGTTTTCACATAATTTTTTGTTTGAAGTAAGGGCAATTTATCAAGAATTATTTTTAAAAAACTGCTCCACATTTTTTCTCTAAATTTTTTCCTTTGAAAGAATGAAGGATGCTAAAAACATTGGGTACCAGTCTCATTTTCGTTGAGCTCTTGAATTTTTGAAAATTGGAGAAGTTGTGTCACTTTCAGTTTTTTTGTTTGAAATTCATTTTTCTTGATCTTACTGGATATTGTTTTCTTAATTCCTTAATCTATTTGCGAAAACAGTGCATTAGTATGTTTTAAATGAACATTTTATTTATTTTCTGTCAGATATGAGAGTTGATATTTCTCCTAAATATTGTTCAGGACATCTTACAACAAAATTTTAGATAATTTTCAATATTCATTAATTAATTTACTATAACATAACCATTTATTTAATGTAATTTATCAAACTCTGTGGTAGTGACAAAAACATTGAATTGAATTGATGCCTTATTTTCTGTAGCGAGTCTTGGGCCATCAGGCCCGCTTTTCCATCTGACCACACGAATTTCGCTATGTACCTTTCACCAACTAGCGTAGAAAGGATGTATTTCTTGGGTGACGAAACAGGTGATTTGAATTTAGCTTAGAGGCTTCATTTAGGCTTGAGGATCTTTTACATGCAAGTAAATCTACTAGCATGGAACAGCCGGCTTTACACCAACTTGGGTATAACAGTTCGATACGCTCACCATTACGCCATCGCCGCTGCCTGACCATTCTGCTCGCTGCTGTAAATGAAATTACAAATACCATGAATTTTTGCCCTATTATTCTATTCATTATTCAAGTTTTAACTATTAAAGGGCTCCTAAACATTAATTACTCACTTCCTTCCTCCCAGTTTTGTATGCAAGCAATGATATTGCTTCAAGTAATTATATTTGTCCAAGTGATTGTTTACCAATGTTGTGACTATCTTGGGAGATAATTGCTAATGGGTTAGGTGCGATCAGGGATAGTCAGATACGTGTCTAAGACTGAGGAGGCACCTTATCTCAGCTGCTCTATGAAAGTCAACTCCATTATTGCTGACTTGCTGTGTCACATAGAGATTTTAACTTCTGTCAGAATTTACAACTTCAAAAACAATCCCCATTTCCCACAGGGCTTCCTTAACATGGCACATGTGGCATTTGACACAGGCCTATTGGAACCAATTCAAAAAAAGGGAAAAAGAAGTGTGTCACTTATGCAAGAAGACATTGGTGAATTTATGTAATTAATTCTCTGATATGTTTGAAAAATAAAGAAAGGAATAATTAATTATCAATGAATATGAAATGATAATATGTTGAAAATTTATTTTGGTCGGTATCATTTGATCAATTTTTTAAAATGTTTTTAATGTTATTTATTACTTATCAACTTTATCACAGATTCAACTGTTTTGTTTAATGCGTTTAAATAATATCTGAGTTAATTATATTTTTCTCTAAGGCACAAAATATTTATATATTTTTCACAAGTAGAGAAGACCCTGCCTTTTAAGAAATTCTGTGGGCTCTGTCAATTCCACCTGTTTCCCAATGATAAGGTATATTTTGTGTTGTAAATATCTCAGTGTACCATCTTTTATAATGTGTATCAAAAGTCATCTGGAAAATGTTTGGAAGTGCACAATTACTCAGAGCAGTGATATTTAACTTACATTCCATACATACAGAATCGGTTTTAGTTAATATGAGGGCTCTGAGGAAGAGTGCCATTTATGATTGAAGTCAATGCTTTAGCATTTTTATTATAGTAATTTTCTAAAATTCATTGACCCATTTTCATTGTATTATATTGGTCTTTGTAGTGTAATTTATTAAGTAAGTTGCATAATATAGTTTTGTGGTGTTTAATTTAGTTTTTAATTTATTTATTTTTGATTTTGATTGTGTTAATAATTACTGCTCTAAACAACTATTCAGAGAAAATCATTATTGTGATATATTATGTTTCTCCTGCCTCTAGTTGTCACAGGTGTTGACATGACAATTTGCTTGCTTTATTGCTTTGAAATACGTAATTATTATTTTGGAATATTTTTTTCATTAGAACGGAACATTCATTCTTTTGTTATAGTACTCTCGAGGGACTTGTTGCCAGTTAATTTAATTTTTTAACTACTTCTCAAAAATGTAATTATAATCTAGCAGATGTTTTCGTAAAATAATAATCAAGCAGATATTTTTTTTATTTACCTTTCATTAGTTACACATTCATTGCTATAAACCATGCTATGTGTGAACTATTATTTTCTAAAGGTGTCAGTTGTCTAACTTCAATTTCCAAGTATTGTGTTGATTTGGTAGTTATTTTGCTTAATAGTTTTATTTGTACAATCAAAATAAATTTGAATACAAGTCTAAGAACACTTCAGTAACTAATTGAAAGTACAATGCAATTATACCAATAGCTATAACTAAACAAACCGTTATGTACTTGGGAAGAAGGAAGGACAAATGCAAATGTAGGTATTGATTGTAAATAATTAAATTTTCCCTTGAAAATCTGCTGAATACATTTCATGTAATAGATGATTGTTATGATTTGTGCCCCACAAACACTGACCCTGGAAAAAGAGGTGAAATATCTTCATGTAAGAAAATTTGAATTGGCTTTAGAAACTATTTGGTAGATCAAACCTATGTATTCACCATTGTCCAATTTTCTTTTTAACAAACAAACTAATTGATTCAAAAAATGATATAAATGCCTTCAAGAATTGTTTTGTGATTTCATTTTGTCCCTCAGTTCTTATTCAAAGTGCCTTTAAATTAATTTTAAAAAAATTGTTCTGGTATTACTCAAGCATATTTAAAATGCTTTCTCTTTGTTTTATGTTTCATCTTTGGATTAGTTTATTTTACTTTAATATATTTAATATTTTTAGAGTGATGTTTGTTCTAAATTTTTAAGAGTGGTGTGGTATGTTGAAAACGATTTTTCTAATGTCCGCAAAACACAGTGCTGAAAACGGCCCAGAACTTTTTAACTGTTTATTATTTTGTAACCATTTCACTTCAGTAGAAGTTACAATTGTGCTACATACAAGCAGAGGTGGGGGGGATTGATTGGAAAATGAAATATTGAGGAAAATTTAGAAAAATATTGTTGTGTGGAACAATTGTGTTTGCCTAAAGTAAGGATACTTCATTAATAAATCAATTAAAAAGAAAATTTGTTTATGAGCACATCTGTGAAGTAATCTTCCTTTAATTTGTTTTGAGAATTTTGACAGTATTTGTGCTTTACACTTTTGGGAATCTGTGTAGGCAGTTGCTGAACAGACAGATTACTATAGATATAAGATAATGTTTCAGTTGACATTTAAATTGATTGTTCGAAGATCCATCATAGAGGCTTAATTCATAATACTTTTTTCTAGGAAATTTGGTGAAGATGATAATGTTGCAAGTACTTGATTATGTTTGCACATTTTTGATCTTTGCTCTGGACTCTGAAACAGTCATTGGTTGTTTTATAGTATCCTGTTATTTGGAATAATGAGGATAACTTTTCTATTATTATTATTATTCAAAATTTTATTTAAAGTGCCACAGTACTACAACAATAGAATGTTCAAGTAGTTGGGTGTTTGCTATCCTGCTTGTTGTTAAAAACATTAGTGTTGAGTGTGCATCGACATTCATATTGGATGATATATTTGAGTGTGTGTTAATGTAGTATAAAATTTTATATATTAGTTTCTAAGATCAATGAAATCTTTAATTGACCATGTCTTTTATTTTATTTAATTTGCATATATTTATTCTGATTGAAATGCATGATGTTTCATATATATATATATATATATATATATATATATATATATATATATATATATATATATATATATATATATATATATATATATTTGTATTTTAAAAAACATTTGTTTTATTATTTAAATAATGTTATCTCTGGTTCTAGTTTCTAAAACTTGATCACTGGTAACATTTCTTTGAATGCAGTGTAATCAATGTCGCCCCGCTGAAATGAACGTTTTTTTTAATTTTTTATGCTTGGTGAAATGTTCAGAGTCTTGGTATATTTATTATACATTATGTAATATTTAACATAAATTATTAAAATGCATTTTAGAAGTTTTATCCTATATTTTTTAAAGTTGGAAAATATATAGTATATACTCTTGTTTTAAAGTCAGCATGTGAATGTTAAGTTGTATTCTCGTTTGGCCAAGTATATATTGTATATCATAGTCTTTGTAATAGATTGCATTATCATATAGATACAACCAAGGCTCTAACAATGTGCATGCATGTTTGTTGTTTGTGTGTTTGTGTGGGAGTGTGTGTACATGTGCCCAGTATGCATGTGTGTTCGGCCGCTGTGAGGCGGCGGGGCGGCTGCTGACCTGAGGACAGTGTTCATGTGTGTACTGCAACCAGTTGAAGGACGACTCGAAAGCGGACACGCCCAACTCCTCGGATCAGTCGCCTCGTGGCCCGGGCTCAAAGCGCGCCAAGAGCCAGCGCCGTCGCAAGCCGAAGCCCACAGCAGGCACACCCAGTGCCATGCCTGGCACACCGGGTGGTCCACCCAACCCAGGCACGCAACCGGTCATGGGTGCCATGGCCCAAGCCATGCAGGTACGACCCCCGGCTGTTTGCATCTATTTCCCCTCTTTGGTGACTCCCAAGCTACATTTGGTCCTCTGATTGCACATGAACTCTTAGTCTTCAACAAATGAGGTGGTTTCATTGAGGCATTTCAATAAATTCTTCTTGAATAGTTTTACTGTTTCCCCTCCATTAATTCTACATCATTCTAAATAATATCATTAGTAATCATGAACACATAAATAATGGTGGTTCAAACTTCATACTTCGTATTGCTTCAAGAAATTGTATTTTGTGGACTTAATGCTCTTTACTCATTTTCATTCTATAGTATTTTCTGCAAAGCAAAATAACTTGAGACATTTTAATAAAATCTCTTAGATCTCAAATGAAAGAAAAAGGAGCTTTCAAAGAGGGGAATGCCAATGTATGATGTACAGTGCTTGCTTATGCTCTCTAATGCTCTGTGTGTAGCTTTGTCTTGCAAGCCTCTGATGTCAGCTGGTAAGCCTTGTATCTTTTTTGCTGTGTTGATGTGTTTTGTCTGTACCATTGTGAATGTTGTTAATTGTGTAGTCATAACACAATTTATTTGTATTTCATCTTTCTCAGTGTTTTTTGGGAAACCTGATTGTTGTTTCTTGTTGTTGTTCAAATTACATGTTTGTTGAATCGAGATATATCAGATGTTCAGATAGAATATATAACATTTATTTGAGTTTGCTTTCAAGAGCAAAACTAGAAAATGAGCATCTCGATTTTAATGTCATGTTTCTGTGAAGAGTGACATCAAATGTTGAGGTAGTGGCACCCAACCTCAATTGTAATTGCTGTGTTTGTTGGTCTCTCTCCAGCCCCAGCCTAATGTTCAGCACATGAACTACCCAACTGGAATGTTCCCTCAGCAGCCGCAGTGGGCGTACAACCAGCAGCAACAACAGCAGCAACACCAACAACAACAGCAACAGCAACAGCAGCAACAACAGCAACAACAACAGCAGCAACAGCAACAACAGCAACAGCAGCAGCAGCAACAACAACAGCAGCAACAGCAGCAGCAACAACAGCAACAACAACAGCAGCAGCAGCAACAGCAGCAGCAGCAGCAACAGCAAAATTATTATTCACAGCAGCTACCTCCAGGTTAGACTTCTTTATTATATTTTCTTCATTGTTTTTCGCACATTTGTGTTTATTAAATGATTTCATTACTTTAATTATTATATTAAGCTACTATTCCCTTTCATTTACATATCTTTTTGATGAGCCAACTTCAGTCACCATGTTATTTGCTTGAATGTTAGTCCTAATGGGTCTTCATTTAATTTTGTTCCTAAAATAAAATTTAAAGAGATTTACAATTTAAAAAAATACTAAGTACTTTTCTCAATTTCCATGAATTTCTATTTTTGACTTGGTGTTTCTAGTTGTAACTTAAAAGTAATGAAAATGTGATGAAAATTAAATTGAAACTTTAATGATGATTTGGGGCTTTTAAGTGAATTCACAACTTGTTAAACATTGACTATTCAGACTCAATTTTGACTGTTAAAAAGTAACAAGCAAATGAGAAAACAAGGCTTTTTACTATATTTTGAAGTCATAGAACTGAGTAATCAAAAAGGATTAATAAAATAATGCTTTTTGTTGCGGATAAAAAGGGCTTTTGTACTTCTTTACTCTTGTTTATTTTTGCTTGTTCACTACTTCCTTGTCTGTTATCTATAATACACTTTGTCAAGCTATGAAATTAAAATATAAAAACTGTTTTCATAAATAATTTACCACAGAAGGAAAGGAAATTTCAAGCAAATTGAATCAAGAATGGCCAGTAGGTAGTATTTCAATTTTTTGGGGGGTGAATGACTTCTTTACAGGAGTAGAAAAGTAAGCACATCATTGTTTGAGTATTTTGAATGTTTAGTCAGATTTGTATTTTTGAATTCATGAAATTAGTAATAGCCTGTACCCATTGGGAAAAAAATGGATATCAATGTCATCAATTTTAAATGTGACTGAAATAACCAGGGGGATTAGTTTCACCTGCTTAAACTCTTCACCATCTTCTAGATATTGCATTGAACAAAACAATCTCTGAGACATTTTGCCTACAAACGCTCCAATAAAGAGCTGCTGGGTTTTAAAGAGATGGGTATAAATTTAGGAAATCATATCCCATGGTAAGACTACACTGGGTTCTATGCTTCTCGAGCAACAAAATTTGATTTGTTTTACACACAATGCCGAAATGCCAAGTTTTTATTTTGTGAATTGGGGTTAGAAGAACATTGTTCTGTATCTGCACTATTCAGCATCTGTGCCTCCACAATTCCCCTTGGACCTGATTCCTAGACACTTCCTTTTGATGAACAATTCCACACTTAGCAACCATGCACATGCACAGTGCCATGTTGGGGGTTCCAGAAGCCACACTGCATGTGGACTCATTTCCTAAAACTTCCTGGAACCTTTTTTCTGGAAGAAGAGCGGGGTCACAGTGCCACTACATGCAGTGGTGGCCAGCATGAAGCCTGGCATTGACCTTGTGACACTACTTTTAGTACCACTAAAAATTTTACAAATGAGGAAACTGACCAGGAGTACTTTAATTGTCATATAGTTACAATCCAGTTGATAAAAAGATAATCTAGGTGAAACAAATCACCCTATGTAGCTACTTTGTGAGCACAGAATTAATAACAGATTATGAGATATATTATGTTAGTTTTTATGTATTTTTGTCTGTGCAGCCTTCCATGCATCACCAGGTAAGGAACACAGTTGTTAATATAGCTTGCCCAATTCCTTTCTCGCCTATATTGTATTTAGAAGAAACTGAGGTCAACTTGTCTTCTATTTTTGCAATTGAGATTTATGTATATTTAGAAGTACTTCTCCAAGTTTGCAATATCCACTACATATTTTAAGATATTTGCAGAGATTAGGTCAAGTTCACAAAATATGAAAATGTAGATTAGTGTGTTCCCAAATTATTGTATTATTTTTTTTCTGTGCTGTGAAAAATTGATTTTCATATTCAACAGAAACACACATTTACACGTTTTCGGATCTCTTGATAATGAATGCTTTTTCAAAACTTCTGTCCTATAAACAACACTGGTACCTAAACTAGTATTTGTAGAATTTATTCCGGAAAGAATATTCCCTGGTTGCTGTGACCCAGCTTGAAGTACTGTGATTTTGAATACCTTTCTGTAATTTTGGAGGCTACATTACATGAAGCCTGTGATACATTCTTAAAATTTTCTAAAAATGGCTCCAAATTGTTTTTGTAAATTTCTTGTGAGAATAGTGACATACACGTGCAAGCATGGCTTAGATCCAATATTCCTGTTAATTCTGAATTTTCATAAATTAAAATGTTTGAATATTTTTCGGCGTCTTCCTACAACTGCTATATTGAAGATAGCAACTTTTTTTGTAAATGAAATTTGTTCTCCACAATCAGTTATTTAGTTAACGTCATGTACATTTTTTTATAATCATTTTGGTAATTTTGGAGCGCATTTTGGTAAATATGGGCAATATTAAAAAATATTAAAAACAAGACTTTCTAAAAAACGACTCCAAATGTTTTCTTTGAAATTGTTGTACCAATAACTCCAAATGCACTGTATAGGATGACACAACTGTGATTTTACATTACCTACGATTTGTATTCATTATTGCATTTTTGAGTACACATGCTTCAAAAGATGTCTTATATACTTTCTCAAAGAAGCTCCAAATTTTTTTCTTAAACTTTTTTATATGGATAGTGCTAAATAACACTGCACTGAATAATGTGTCATAAATGCTTCTTTGATGTATCTTTGGTTTTTTCAAAAATTGGACAAACATAATTTTTTTTTTTAAATACCTCCTGCATTGTTAATATTTACGTCAGCAGCGATTTGTGTACATTTTTGCTGTTCACTTAAACGGAAATGCATTTAAAACTTATAAAATAAGGATTTATATTGTAGTTGGATATTGTTTAACTTTGTGATTCAGAGATATTAAATGATATGTTCGTTTTTTTAGTAGTATTCATGTTATGTAATATTTCTGATACTTCTCGTGAGCACTGATGCATCTAATCAGCATAAGTTTAATATCAGAAAGTGACCATTTACTTTCATGTTCTCAGTAGGTGGTCCACGTTTCATAGAACGAGCGCCCATCAACCAGACATCAAAGCAGGCGATCTCCCACATGCTGCGACTGCGGCTGCCGTCAGCCTCTGGCCAGTACATGGGCCAGCAACCTGGCTTTCCCCAGGCCATGCCTCAGCGCCAACAGCCATTCATTAGGTGTGCACAATCATTTTCAATGAAAACTTTGATTCAGGCTATAGATTTTCCAGAAAATATTTTGTGCCTAGATCACTCTTTTGTGTGTTTGAAAGGAAACATTTTTTTCTTTGTGTGGAAGAAAAACTATATTTATTTTTGATTTGTATGATTTTTGAGAAAAAAATTATAAAAAATCTATTAAAGCTCATGTGATAAAATGAAAATAAAAGTATATTAAAATAAAATAAAAGTTATAAAAGCTCAAGTGTGTTAATCAAACTTCAGCATAACATCATAAATAGACATCATTGAGGACAGTCAGTTTATCTTTTTGAAATTGAGTAGTAATTATAATTTTCAGTGGTCATTGTGATTTTTTAAATTTCTTTTGTGGTCATTCATGATTTGCTGGAACACTTGTGTTACATTGGCCTTGAAAAATATTATGAAAATATAGACCAAATGTTGGTTAACTAGCTTAAGAGACAATGTTGTCTGGACATTTGAAAACAAATATTACAATGAGATGACTACCATTTGACAGGCTTTAATAATATAAAAGATTTATCATGCTCATATGTGAATTATATTGAATTCCATGGAAATGATTGCTTTCACTTGTTGCAGACATGTACGTGGGGCCCAACATGCTCCTGGAATGCAGCCTCAGCAAGGAATGTTCCCCCAGCAGCAGGGGCCTGGAGGCATGTATCCTGGCATGCAGCAAGGTAAATGGATAACATTTTAGCATAAAAAAACAATTAGAGCAGTGTGTCCAACATGCAAGAACTTGAGGGCCACAAATACAACTTTTGAAATGGTTGTGTGGGCCATATCTACATTATTCAGGGGATCCAGACCTGACTTCCCTGTATTGTTGATCTTGGTAGTTTGCCATACTGCTCTGAAAAGTGTGTGTGTGTGTGTGGGGGGGGATGAAACATGAAACCATGATACAGCCTTTGATAACAGGCTGTACCATGTATAACACAGTGAAACACATTGGGATAATTTTGAATTTCAGAATTTGCAAGAAAAAAAAAGATCTTCAATCTAAACTTCTCCTATTTTTATGTTACGGGCTGTTGAGTCTGACAGGGCACAAGCTCTAAGCATGTAATGTTCTCACCCAACATGATTTCTTTACTTTGTACCCTGTTCATTGATACACTGCGTAACAAACACTTACTATAACAAATAAAATTATGCAATTCCTGGATATTTATTGTAAAAAACTCACAGTGTATATGGTTTAGGCAAAACAGAAGGGAGAAATGTATTGCACAAGTTCACTAATTTTCATGTTTATTAACATCTTGACTTCTAAACTAAACTAAAAAAAATAAGAAAAAATCAGTCATGGATATAATGATTATAAGAAGTGTTAGTTTAGGTAAAAAGATTTCCTTGTCAACATGACAACTTTCTAGTCAATAAGACAAACTGCAATTTCATTTTGAGTGAATTGTAAGAATTAGTTTAAAATAATTATAAATATAAATATGCATACATATGTTTACATACATGTGTGCATATATGTGTCTTTATTGTTGAAATTGTTTGTGGAAGCTCTGCCCCAAATAGCTATATTAATAATTGTGCAAAAAGCCCAGAATCAGAGTGTATTCCTGAATTATTAAATTCCTTATTTGAAAACAGTCTTTTTCAAAAAGTGACTTACTGAAAGTGGACAACAATATAAATTCTGAAAACATGGTCATCAATTTTATCCTCCTCTTCTAATCGAGGCTCATAACCATTATAGCAACAACTTAGTCAACATATTTAATACAATTAAATGGTTCTGTTCAGTCAGGATAATTCAATAATGTCGGTAATTATTCAAAAAATTAGTTTTGTAATTCAGGGTAGGATTCAATGGTGCCACTCGAACAAATGTCAAGCAATAATACGCCTGTTAATTATTTATTACTGAAAATTTGAAGATAATCCATTATAAAATATGTGCTTCATTTCAGACTATTTGTTACAAGATTCTGCTGCAGTACACTTTCTTTCAGAAAAAAATACTCTCTTGCCTTCACCAGAAATTTTCTGAAGTAAATATTAGCTATTAACATACCTAGAAATGTTACGAGTGTTATTACTGCGGAGGCCAAAAGTTAAATATTGAGGCAGATCGTAGCATAGCCGAGATTTTTTATTTATATGAGGCAATAATAACACTGTAACATTTCGTGGTATGTTGAGCATTTTATCAATCATCATATCATCTCACGATTTGTGTGAAAATTTACTAGCTTACTGTGATAGTAAAAAATAGAATTCTGTTGTTGCGACATGTTACAATGGTAGTGTGGGGTGTTGATAACGATATATATCTATTTAAACAATATTCATATACAGTGGTTTAAGAAATGATGGATGCAATTAACTCTCTTGAACCTAAAGAAATGATGATTGATAAGGAAGTTGGTGCAGTTACTTCTATGGCAACATCTTCAGATCATAAGTAAATATGAAATACCCGAAAAGAGTTTTGTTTGGTGAAATTCCTGGAAAATGAGGTTAATTTACTTAATACATATTTTTTTAATTGCACTATTAATATTATAATTAATAATAATTATCCCAAATACTAATACAAATTAATTTTAGTCTTAATTTTTTGATTTTTATTAGTTTTGTACTTTGCCCAGTATTTTTTCTTAATTAACATTTGACTTGTGATGAATAGATGGTTATTATAAATTGTGAGGAATTGTGATGAATAGATGGTTATAATAAAATATATTATTTAAGTGGCAGTGCGGAAGTTCATTAAACGAACAGAAAGAATTCAGCAATGTTTTGTGTAATGTGAACGATTCTTGTTATGTCACACCAACATGTTAAACATGTCAACTGCTGCTTTTGTGTTGAATGTAGTTTGTTATTCATTGAAGAAAAAGAAATCTTGGGTTATTTGTTTTTTCTAGGCTGGGCAGATGACCCATCAATTTGATGTTTATGACTAATCACATTGAGTTGTTTTGGTCAGTGTGCGAGAGCTGGTGTTGACATGATGATGAATGATAGTGTATTGTTGATTGTTTCTTCTTATTTTTTCAAAGACATTTGTCAAACTAGTGAGTGTACCAGTCAGAATTCACTGTTTTACTATTCGTTAGTGGTACAGTAGCCACTTGTTGGATTTGAATAATATGGGAAAACTATACAGTTCATAACTGTTTATTTTCATACTCATATTCATAGATCCAAGATTCATAACCTGTGTAGATGTTATACAAGGCTTATGACTCCCCATTTCTTTGCACCAATTGATATGAACTTTTTTTTGAGCGGGTGTTCTGGCGTAACAACCAATTTTGGACAATGTTATTTAAATTCATTCCTGAGCAAATGACCACCCTGCAATAATTAACTTAGTGATATACAGTGATTTTACATGGTACTTAATTGTCAAAAGTCAAAGTGAGGTTATTGATGCACTGTTGATCACATTGAAGCTATAGAAAATCATTCCTAAACAATTCTCTCATGTTATTGCCAGTTTTTAACTTAAGATGAAACTTCCAGGCCACAGAACAATATGACTCGTGTCTATATATGAAAACATTCTAAGTACATATTACTGTCAAGAATGACAAACTTTAATATGATATGTCAGGTGGTGCCTACCTACACCATTGTGTCACGTCCCAGCACATAAATAGAAACCTTCATATAGACAAAACATCTTTCAGCAATATGTATCCTATACTTTTTCATAAAATATTTATTACTTATGTCAAACCAATACTGGATTATTGCAGCATTTTTTAGTCCCCACACTTTATCAGGGAAATACTACCTTGGATAGAATGTAATGCAAACTTCCATTAATTAAAAAAACACACACACACAACTGTTATATGATAGTAGATTGGCAGCTCTTAGATTACAAACTTTGGAACAGGTAAGACTCTATGCCGACTTCATCAAAATGTAAAATCACTTGAGGTTATTATAGTGCTAAGTCAATATTTCCTCATTTTAATTTCAGTACCAATATGTAACTGTGAGAACAAAAGTACAGACTATCCAGAGGACATTTTTCCAACAGACCACGCTATTATATAAAAACATGCTATTGAATAGAAATGCGGACTATTGGAATCATTTGAGGAGATAGTACAATTCAGATACCTGTGACAATGTAACACAACATCAATGAATATTTTGACTGTGTTCATTATTAATCCTCAACACCAACCAGGAAACCCTGTCTGTTAGGTGTAAAAGAAAAGAAGACATAGAAATTGAAAGAGGAACCTGTATGTACATCTTCTTTTGTTATAGGTATGAATCAGAATTATGGTGGTTATGGTGGGCAGCCAGGTCCAGGGCCTGGTGCCCAAATGGTAGCCCAGCAGCAGATGCTGAGTCAGCAGGGCCAGCCCATGCTGGGTGGCTTTCCTGGGCAGCAGGGTGCACCTGGGCCTGGTCCTGGAGGGTTTGTCCCTCAGCAGCAGGGCCCTCCTGGATTGTTGGGCACAGCGGGCTTGCCCCAAGGGCAGAGGCCCACTGACTACATGGGTGGGCCTCAAGGGGCTCTAGCCCAACAACAGCAGCAACAGCAGCAGAGAGCCTTAGCTCAGCAAGGCTCTCGCCCACCTTATATGCAGGTAATCTCATACTTCTGTTTTTCTTTCTCACTCTTACTTTGCAAGAAAAGAAAGTATTGTATTTGTGTGCTGGAAAACAGTGAATTTTCCACAGAAAAACTTATTGCCAGGCCCTGGTAATGAAAAAGTGGATGAATCTTGTTCCTTATATATAATAAATTACTTCTAATGTGCTTTGTAGTCAGAACGAATGTTGTGTGGGTCCTTGGTGACTGCGAAACGTCTGTCTGTCTGCTCGTCTGTGGTTAACGCTAGAGCCTAAATCATTGAATTGAATTGAATTTGCCTTATTTTATGTGGCGAGAATCATTTAACTGAATTTCTCCAAAATTGGTATTCTGTGATTGATTTAAATGAACTTAAGGCCGTCTGAGTTTGAAATGTGTATTTTTATTTTTGAGGGAAAAGTATATTACTAGGTTTTGCATAATTTTGCAAGAAATATTGGCAATTTTGAAAAATTTTCTAACTGTTATTCTCTCAAAAATAGCATCAAATATTTTCTGCAAATTTTCTCCTTGTATGTAGCAAAGGATGGTATAAAACTTGGTGCTGGTCCCATTTTCAGCAAAGTATCTGTATTTTCGAAATAACAAAAAATGAACTTTGCCGTCGTAAAATATTGAAGGTAGAGATTTTTGTCTTATTTTTGCAATATTTTTCTAAAAATTTTGTCCTTTAATAAAAGTTATATACAATTTTTTGAAACCATGAGTAATTTTCATGTAATTTTTGACTGGAATTAATGCAATTTATAAAAAAAATAACATATTCTTCAAAACTGGCTCAAATTTTTTTGTTTAAATTTCTTCATTGAATGCAGCGAAGAACATTTTAAAAAATGGTTCTGTTTCCATTACTGATTAATACTCTGTATTTTTGAAAATTGTTAAAAATTAACATTTTAGAAGTACAATATTTATTAATGATGGAGATTTTTTATTAAACGAAAAACAAAAAATAAGAGAAGAAAATACATAAAACAGATAATAAACAATATTTTATGTAAACTGAAATAAATGAAATATCAATTTAATTTACTTCATCAAATACACTTTTTCACATAATTATTTCATCCATTTAATACTAAATTGAATCCGTTCGAATCTTTTTAATTTGAATTTAATAGGTAGTAAACATCATAAGTATAAATTCAGTTTATTGTAAGTTGTGAAGGGATATTTCAATTTATTGTTCTGTGAAAGTATAACAATGGTATGGTGTATTACTAATTGGCATGTGCTTGGGGGTAACGCTGTGGCAGATGTTGCAGTAAGAGAGCAAGTAGAAATTTCTATTGTATTTTACTTTTCAGAATTCTCTCAGAGTCTCACTTTAAAATTTATCCGACCTGTCTAGAGCACTTGAGAGAATACAGTGGTATTTTCCCCCCAAATTTTTAAATTATCGGGTTAGGGAAGGAATTTAAAAAATGAAAATAAAATAAGTTCAAGAAATGCATTTTAAAAATTGAATAAATTCCATATACATCAAATGAAAAAGCATCTTTTGTTTCTTAATGTTGCAGTGTACTTAACTTCTGTCAAAATTACAACAAGAGTTACAAATGATTAACTTGAGCAAATGTGAGTTTTTTGGAAATTTTGAAAATTAATATTGTCTTGGGGAAAAAGGAATTAAGGAAAAAAAGAAAAGAAAGAAAGAGAAAAAATGAAATACACTTGTTTCATAGTTTGGCTTTTACACGTCATAGATAAAAATTACTTACATAAAAGTTAAGTACAAATAGTTAAAAATCTTACAAAAAATTTTTTAAAAGTTACAAATAGTTAAAAATCTCTTACATAATATCAAATTTTTCTTAAAGTTTGTGATATTTGATGTGAAATAATTGATGTAGAGGTGTGTGTTTTTGTCTCGGGTAATCAGAATTATACAATAATTGTTTGATATTTGTGTTGTGGCAGAAAGAGGATTGATTTTCTGAGTGAAATGTGTTGGTGTGCAGCAGGCTCCTAACGTGACGATGACTGGCATGGGAGGGCCGATGCCACAGCAAGGCCAGGCGCAGGGACAGCCCACTCCCCCATATGGCCGTCCAGGGGCTGGCGCAGGCCCAGGCGCTGGCCAGGGTCCTCCCACCTCTCACCCCCAACAGCAGCAGCAACAAACCCAGCAGCAGTTCCAGCAAGCAGTAAGTTGTCACCTGTAAAATTGTAAATTTAATTAATGTAATTCAATTGGGTTATTACTCATAGATTTTATGAGTGATGATTGATCGCCTTCATTTACAACACCTAGAAATTGTATGTTCACATGATTAGTGCTGTCTTTTTTTCATCAGAGCATTTATCTGTTTGCTGACCATTTATTGAGATTCATACACTAATGTAGTTGAAGAAAACACTACTAACTTTCATGTGATGCAAATAAAGTGAAAACGAACCTTGGAATACAAAGAACAAATAGCTTTGAAAGACAGAAACCATACACAGAACACACGATAGAGAAAGGTATCACTTGTCCCCATAGTACCATTTTTTAATGGTTTTTTATGTTAAAAAGATTTGTTTTACCTCTTATGTTTGAGTTTAGGAGATACGCACCTTGAAATGTGTTCAAAAACATAACATATGGTGGAAGAATGGAGGGTGCAACCTGAATATGTTACTTAATGTTAAAATAGCTGCACTCAGTTGTGTAACATCAGTGTTTGTGATCAGTGATCAGTAAATGTTGTATTACAAACTATCTTTCACAAGAATGTGTTGTCCAAAACCTCAACAAATATGGATTTATATATTTTTGGATGCTTCAAAAATCAGTACATGTGTTAAGTAGATCTCATTTGCTACTTTGCTTTTCTTGAGTTATAAAAATGTATTATGCCTTGTGTGTTTCGGGATTCAGCTACGAATTGTTGAGGAGGCTGGATAATTTAATAACAGCTTTTACCCTGTTTGGAATACAAAATATCCCTTCTACATATAATACACAAAGGAGAAATAGTGGACAAGAAATTTTTTTTGGCAATTCATCTGATGAACAGTTTCTTGAATAAAGTTTTGCAGTTAATAACAATTTATTAACATTTCAACAATGCCATGTTTCAAGGCTCAATTTGCTTCTTTATCAGGCTAGAAACAACACATTTTTCTTTAACACTGTACAAAGCACATAAGAGGGTGGTACTCCACACAAAAAACATCTGAAACTCACCTTAAAATATATATGTATGTACACACAACACACTGTAAGTGTATTGCTCATTTAGGGAATCGTATCAGAAAGGTGGAGGTACATGCCAGAAATATGGAAGTTGCTTCATACTTCAACAGTTTGAATTTTACTTCAATCATAAACTAGTTTAATTTTTGCTAATTAAATTTAAGTTATGTTTATTAAAAATATTGAACATTTTTGTAATCAAATTATACATTTTTCTTAAACATCGAAGCTAATGTTTTATTTAGTCAATATATTGAAAAGAAGAAAATATGTGAGTATATATTTCAAAATATCCCTTCCCTCCTCTGCAAAACTGCCTTTGATATATGCACATAACAAAATACTTTTATTTCCAAAAGCGGTAAATATTTGTTAATTTCTAAAATTGTGAAACTATATCCAGATTAACATTAAACAAATTATAGTTGATCGATTGAACTAAAATAATTTTGAAACTGATGTAGAGCATGTATTCTTCATGGGTTTTCAATTCAGGGTCTCTGCAATAATGTCTTAATTTTTTAGGTGAGCCAGAGAATGCGACAGCAAATGATGATGGTCCAACAGCAGCAACAACAGCAGCAGCAACAACAGCAGCAACAGCAGCAACAACAACCCCAGCAGCAACAACAACAGCAACAAGCTGCCAATCAGCAAGCAGGTGCAGGGCCAGCGATGGTTGCTCATCTTCAAAGGCAGCTCACACAGGGCGGTCAGCAACCTGGTCAGCAACATAATCCCTATCCTCCATATTGACCATGATATATCATCTTTCTACTGCACTCTTTTCTTTCTAAGAATTCCTTCCTTGTTTTCCATACAAAGAGGCAATAGCAAACGTGTATTGACTGCTGGTGTGAGACAATCTGATATGATATAATAGATGCATAACTTGTATAGAAGGCACAGTGATCTACTGTGGTTACACAGTATTTGAAAAGTGCATTTACCATACCCTTCATGTGTTCCTGATTAGTGATATATAGGTGGGTAATTGCTTGGAAATTTTTCTTTAATTTAAAAAACATCATAATTACGCTGTCTTATGCTTACTTTTACCTATCTCCTTTTTCTGTCAATGCCTTCACAAACCTTTTTTTTTTTTTTGTTCACTAAAATCAAGTAGCAAAAGAGAAGAGTACAAATTTGTTCGAATGTTGTGTCCAGAGCTGTACAATATATTTTAATATTAATCAGGCCTGAAAGTATGAATATGGAAACAGATTAGGCAGTGATGTTCTCTGTTGTAGAGTTAAATATTGTCTTTGCTATTCTTAATCAGAATTTTATATATATATATATAATGTGTGTATATTGAAAATCACTTTTAAACCATGGCCAATCAGTTATTGATGTCATGAATTATGTCTGTGATGACCAATGACTAAACCTATGTACAGAATATTTATGTCCATGTATAGATGCATTTTATCATTTGGACCAGTTGGTCATAAGATATTCCATTACATATTTGATATTTCCATGAATATATTTAAACAGAATGTAAAAAATAAGTGCATTAAATACATGAAGACCAAGAATAAAAGTTACTTTAATGCATATCTGTTGATGCTTGTGGGCTAAGATTAGGGTGAAGTGCTGTCACTAAGTCAGAAACATGCAAGAATCATTAAAATGGATTACTTGCATTCTCTTATTCTTTACTATGTGTATAGTAATTTAAAAAATGCTGTTTGGTCAAGCTTATTAGAAAGCTACTATACAATTTTCATGTAAAATAATCATAAGCTAAATTATGTTGGACGTACTGTCAGGAATCTCAGAAGTGTAACCAGAGATATGTTGCAACTGGCATATTATATCCCAGCACTCTGGTTGTGCTGCAATCTGGAGTGCATTGTGCGCCGCTTTGTCGCATTCTGGTCTGTGCCTGATAAATATCACTGAGGCTCTTTGCCCAGTATAAATGCATGTCATGATTGCTACAGCAACTGTCAAATGCTTAGAACTCCAAGATCTGACACCGTAAGTGATGATGTTTGACAATGACTTTGAAATACAGGTTATAGTCAGTAGCAGTAGTTTTTTAAAAATATCTTTAATTTAAATTTATTTTCATGATTTATATGATAATGTTTAGTGATGTGGCACTTCAGTCTTAATCTTTACCGGCAAGCTGCCAGTCTCATATGTATCATAAAATAATAGTCACCTTCCAGATGAGTCGTCAAAACCTTCTGTAGGCATACACAGTCTAAAACAAGCAGGGTTGGCCCAGCACATTTCTGGACCCCCTATATGTTTAAGTTTTTTTATTTACATATAATGTATTTTACTAGAAAATAATTAAAATATACAAGGAGAATGAAATTATAACTTTAATTACACAATTAATAAATACATTTTATGATGAACTATTTTCAGAGTTGGCCATTGGCGTGGAGATTCTCTTCCCCAATTGTTGTAAAGCAATTCTCCAAATTGTCAGGTTTAAAAATGGGATTAATGAGGGATTGAATATTTTATGAAAATAAAATGTTTTTATTACAAAGGACTATGGGTCCCCTTTCAAAATTTACAGGGAAGCTACATCCTCCCTGGCATGTGCATGCCATTGCCTTCTTCAGTTTCTGTGCTACAGGTCTCGGGTAGGTATGGATGTAATGTGACTGTGTTACAGGTAATACATATAGTAGTAGTTTTTGAATATTAATGATAATACTAATATAGTTTACCTCAAGAAAATATTGGCTGAGTCGACTTGTGCATGCACATATATATATATATATATATATATATATATAATGTGTGTGTGTGTGTGTGTGAGTGTCAGTGTCAGTGTGTGCGTGTGTGAGTGTGTGTGTGTGCGTGCGCGCGTGCGCACACACACACACATAAATGGATGTTGGTATATACCAGAGCGATGAACTCTGATGCTGTGAGACTGATCTCCATGAAAGTTGGCACTTCTACATGCTTTTTCATGGAGAAGGTTTTTATGCTGCTAAATTTGTTGCCACTCCAGTAGATGATGCTTCAGTTAAAGACTGCTAAGTTTTCTCGTTAGCAAGACCTATCGAAATGATAATTTGTATAAGAACATCAATTATAGTAAAAGCAGTTGGCTGTGTGAGCTAGCCTTGTCAGTTTCCACGACTGCTAAATAAAAGGGCCGAGTACTGATGTAGAAGGAAAGTGAATTGAATACCATCTTTGCTTTTAAGTCAGTTGTTTACATTTCACAATGTCAATAAATAATGCTCTCCAGAAAGTTTTCTTGTTCAATTTCTGTCATTTGTAGAACTTTATTTTGACACTGTAGAGTGTGAAAATCATGAATATGGCACCTAATATGGATTAATTCTAGAACTTCAGGTTAAACATGGGAAAAAATGAAGAATTAAGTTTCTTACCCTTATGCGCACTTATTAATTTTATTTGGTACGAGAAAATTATTAGTGCAGAGAGAAAAAGTTCATAATAATTTGACACAATTTGTGATTTGAATTTGGCGGCGACTTGGATTCAATATGGCGGCGACATGAGCAGTGCTATTAAAAATAGCTCAATTTTAAACTACATCTTATTTGTACGTATTGCATTTTAAACATACGTAAGGTACTTGATAGTATTAAAATAATTTCAAAAAATTCATTTTTGGGGTCAGGTGAACGTTATTTCTTTGTAAATGATAAATGGACCTAAGTTATAAATTTATTTTCGATTATTTTATTTGTTGTTTTCTTTTATTTTTCCTAGGTGCTTCGAATATTGTCAATGCGCTGAAATCAATGTAACTATGATTCGAGACCGGTATTCCGCGCCAAGGTCATTATAATGACCTTGTTTCTCGCCACAGAATTACATTGCAGCAGTTGGTGACAATGCAGGGAAGTCCCGAGTTGAACTAGCACATCATACTATTAGACGTAAATTTCTTGACCGATGACTAGGCGGTGAGGGAGCATTGTCATCCAGTCAGGAGCTTTCATTTCGAAAATGGGATTGGATAATGGTTCCTCCGCCTTTTGACTGGCAACCTTTTCAAGTTTCAACAAATTTAAATCCGACAATAGAATATGTTAGTCATTTTAATATAATACGATCAGTGAGGAGTGGGTAGTGCAGGAGCAGGGAAGAGTTATTAGCAGTGTATATCCATTTATAATTTCCTAGTATATACCCAATACACTCCAAGAACGGTAGGAAGACTCATAAGTTAATTTTTCTTCATTAATAAGCAGTGATGTAAGTATTATCCGCGCACCTTTTCTTGAGCCCTCGCTTCGCTAGATTTGAAAGGAGTGGGGAGTATTTTGATGAAAGGAATTTTACGTCTAATTTGTAGTTAATTAGTAATTTTTCCATGCAAAATTGTTTTTAATACATTGGAGCGAACGTCACCAGATTTTGTATACAGGTCTCATTGCAAATAATGTTAAAGGAGTGGGGGTAGATATTCCGGGACTCAGTGTTAATGACATGTTAAATCTAAAACTACAATTTAAAGTGTTTGATTGGCATAATTAAGCACATCCTGGAAGGCTAATGTTCGAAACGGGGCTTGTGTCATAACATATTCATTATAAATTGTGGTCATAATAATGTCAAAAGTACGTATGTCATAAAATATAACTGCTTATTCACAGCACTGTTCCCTGATATTTTTAGAGAAATTCCAAATAAAACTTATTGTAGAAAAAAGTCAGTATGGTGAAATAATTATCTTGAGCTTTTCAATTCTTACGTTTTCTCGTCTGGAGAATATCGCTTAAACTCAATTCTAAATTGGCTGCAAAGGGAATTTAAACTCTCACAATATTCTTGTACAATTTCATTTTTATTTTTTGAAAATTTGAAACTGACAATTCATCACATTGACTCCACACATCAAACTGACGAATCATCTCATTTATAAGCATGATATATGGATTGATTAAGACTATTAGATTTTTTATTTCTTGAAAGAATGATAATCATTGATAGGTTTCTGAAGCAAAAAAAACAAAACAAGGTGTGCTCTTTTAAGTGACAAGACATTTCAAATTACTTTTCTCTGCATCTATTTGCTTAAAGTTACAATTTGTTTAAATCTTGTTTTATTATATTAGGATATTACTTAAATATTGCTTTGGGTACCTATATCTCAACTATTAATTTTTTTTCTTTTCCATTTTGTGTAGCTAAGACAAATTCTGAGAAGATGGACAAAAAAACAAAAAAGAATCAGAAAAAGAATTCTTGTAAGAGATCTTCAAAGTCTCTTGTTAATTATTTGCAATTTCCAAAAGCGTGGCACAAAAATTTTGATGAAAAAGAAGCCTTTTGCTCAAAACTTCCACCAACTTCAGAAGAATACCTATTAGTGTATAGTAGGATAACTTCAACTTTAGATTGTAATATCACATCCATTAAGAGAATTGAAAATCCTTTTTTACTCGGATGTTTCCTTTTAAAGAAGAAAGAATATAAAGCAAAAGGTATAAAAGTAAAAGTGCAGAAGGTTTTTCACTGCACAAGTGAAAGTAACGTATCCAACATTGTGAAAAATAATTTTGATTGGAGAAAAACCATTCGTGGAAAGTTTGGGCTGGGAGTTAGTTTTTCTCCATCTGCTAGATATGCTGATAGACATGCAAATAGTTCAATTGGAATTAAAAGGGCCATGATAATGGTGAAAGTTCTCACTGGAAGAGTTTTAAATGCAAACTATGGATTCAAGGTTCCTCCGTCAGGTTTTGATACTACTGCTGGCAATGGCAATATGGTTTATGTAAAGTATGATGACTATGAATTTTATCCAATGTTTGTTGCTTATTATTCATAAAACTAAGTTGGATACTTTGCCAAATGTTTTGTATTTGTAGTTCTGTATCAATGTAGAAGACAAAGGTTGTGGCTTACTACTTAATTAAACTAATATCTCTATTTACGTTTAATCTACTTGTTGAATTATATACATTGTTGTTGTTATTATTATTAATATTATTATTTATTTTTGTCTTTTTTACTTGCTTATAAAACTGTAATATCAATCCTTCTTTCAATTATTAAAAATATTAACCTTTTGTCTAACGCAATTTCATCATGCTACATTCATCTTGAGAGATTAGGTGCACAATTTTTAAAATTCCTTTTTAGGAATCATATTGGTTTTATTATCTGTTTTCAATTTTCATTTTAATATAATATGAATCCACAAACACTAATAGAAAACTTTAAATTTCTGTCAATTTAAGGTCAATGTCAAACCCTCATTTATATAAGAAATTTTTTCTTATATAAATAATAATATTGAAACTGAATGTTTTACTAATAATGGATAGATACATCCACTATGTACTTTTTGTTGAGAGTGTTTGAACATTTTACTTTGAAATTTCTTTGGTTTGTTTACAAAAGAAATTTTAACTGCATTGTTTTAAATTTATTTAAGAGAAATCGATAGCTCTTACACAACATTAGCATCTGTTATAAAAGCAGTACCTTACAAAATGATACAAGATAACATAACATACCTTGTAGGAAACAAACTTACACATTTGGTCTTATTTCATTTATAATATCACATTTTAAAGATTGTAATATTTTTCTGTGATAATCCTCGGATGTGTAGATATGTTCTTGCTCATACGCTCCTATTCTATGTCTGATATGCTGAATTAAAGGGCATTGGTATATCAAATGGTGCATGTAGAGAAAGGTATTGCAGGACAAACAGGTAGGAGGGGGGATGTCCAGTTGGTGATTGTGACTGAAATTGCTGTGTTCAGTTCTTATTCATGTTACTATCAACTTTTCTTTTTTAGGGAAGAAAAAAGAATTGCAGGTTTTCAAGGAGTAAAAACTAACAATTTTTAGTGCAGAGGGCTAGAGTTCTATATTTCTCCAATGATGGTTTCATCTTTTCTGCATTCTCTTACTGGAGAACACAGTTCCAGATTTTAATGAAAATACACATTTTGGAGTCCCCTGATAAGTTGTGTTGTTTTTTGTCCATTTCTCATAGGAATGGAGTGAGATACACTTATAAAGAACGTATAGGTCTGATTTTTACCGCTAATTCTGAATGTTTGGAAATTATGAAAACAAGACTTTTTGGCGCCTTCCCACAATTACAATATTGAAGGTGGTGATTTTTTATTCAAATGAAATTTATTGTCCACATTCTTTTCGTTAATTAATTTCGTGTGCATTTTTTGAAAATCATAGTTTCCCTGTAATTTTAAGTGAAATATGAGGGATATTAAAAAGTATGGAAAACAAGATTTTCTCAAAAGGCCTTAAATGTTTTCTTAAAAATTTTGTGCTGATAGTGTTAAATGCACCACACAATTGCCATTTAGTTGTTTTTTTTTTTTTTTTATTTATTTATAATTATGCTTGTTTTTTTGACATTGATGTGTTATGGTATGGTATGTTAATATTTACAACCCTACATCATTTTGCTTTTTCATGCGTCGGGAACCATGTGTGAGCCACTGAGTGTAAATGCGGAGGGGTGGTGACAACTTGACAAGACTTATTCTTGGAGTGGGGACCACCAATGAGAATATACTATTCAAATCATAGCATGTAAATTGAAAGAGCAACCTACAAGAATACTATGTACTGTTACCTACAGTTCAAATAACATTGTCTTTGTATAATAATGGAAATGTTTGTTGTTGATAAATGACAATGTGAAATATGAACCTAAAAGGACTTAAGTCATAAATATATTTTGACTTTGACACCAAATGTTATATTTGCTTGTAGAACTGATGTTGTAATTCACTTTGCTACAATGTAGATAATCACATATTCAGTGTGGTGTTAAAGACAGTATTGTAATATTGAATTGTTTTTGTTTGATGATGACAGTAGTAAACTTTTTCATTAACTGTTTAATTGAATAAGACAGTTCAGTCGAGGCAAAATATCTTATTCTTAAAAAAGATTGCTTATTGTCTGCTCTAATTTCTGACAAATGTGCATTATATATTTCTAACATCAAATCAATAAACATTACTCATAACTGTTTACGACATCGTATAAAAAAGATTAAGCCCTTTGCATTCTATTTAACAAGACCCTTAATAAACTCATGATTGCCCTAACGTATTGTCAGAGAGGTTTGCTTGTTGCATAGCCAACTATTATGTACATTGTATAGCCTACTAATATATTAAGACAAATTGTCACATAGTAGTACGTGACCATGAGCAATATGGCAAGAAAGTATGTGCCATTGGAACTCCACTAGTTAACATAGTATAGTTTAGGCAATGTAGTTTCGAAACATTTATATATAATTTGATGAATAATGAGTATTGTTGACATTTTGTATTATCAGATGGTTCGGTTTATACCTTAAACTTATTTATCTATCATCAAAAAAGTTAAAAGCCCTGACTTATGGGGAGAAGTACAAATTTTTTTGATCTTAGGAATCCCTTTCCCCTACTCTTTTACACAAGCATTGCATTGTAAATGCACTGTGCCATAATCAATTCAGTAGTACTGGAGTACTCAGTTAAAATGTTACTCTTGTTAAAACAACCCTCACCATTATGGAGCCACCACCAGCTTGCACAGTGCCTTGTTGACAACTTGTGTCCATGGCTTCATGGGGTGTGCACCGCACCATAATCCTACAATTACCTCATACCAACTGAAATTGAAACTCATCCGACCAAGACATGGTTTTCCAATTGTCTAGGGTCCAAAAGATACGGGCCAGAGTTTAAGAGAAGCACTGCAGGGGAAGTGCCGTCAGTACTCGAGTCAGTCTTCAGTTGCGAGAGCCTTGAAGCCAAATTTCGCTGCTGTCATAATCGATATGTTCATCGTTGTGTTCCACATTGATTTCTGCGGTTACTTCATGCAGTGTTGCTTGTCTGTTAGCCGTGACAACTCTTTGCAAATGCTACTGCTCGCAGTCATTAAGTGAAGGACGTCGGGCACTGCATTGTCTATGGTGAGAGGTTATGCCTGAAATTAAGAATTCTTGACACTTAATCTTGGAAAATTGAATTCCCTTACAATTTCTGAAATTGAATGTCCCATGCGTCTAGCTCCAACTACCGTACATTGTAGTTGTGCAATCTGAATCACTTCAGACACCTATTCTGAAACACTCAAGTACAAATGCACTGCCCTTTTAAAAGCAATTCTGCTGGCATTTTATATTTGCATATTGCTATTCCATGACACTTATCACCTCAATGTATATTCCTTAAATGTTGAGACTTATTTTTGATAATCTGACGGTTGTGCAACCTAAGCAAGAGCTGCCACTGAATTCGAAAGAAGCACCCCATCTTTAAATTAAAAAAAAAATGTCTTCCTGATTATCAGAAGGCAGCTCCCTGGAATCAATGATTCAACTTGTTTGGTTCAGATGAGTTCACCACTGGGGTTAAACTTTTCAGCAGAGCATTGAAATTCCAATGGCTGTCGAGTGACTATTGGCACACTCAGAATTTGTCTTAAGGTGGACGTATCTTTTGTCTCTTCCACAGTATGCAGTCATATTTTTGTCTCCCCCCCCCCCCCATATCAGTACATCAGATTTGACAGACGGGTGCCAATGATAGACTACCTTTTGTCAACGTGGAATTGTAAAGCAAAAATGAATTGTGTGCCTGCGGCTTTTGTTCAAGAAAGATTCAAACGAAATTCCTCTGGGATAGGAAAATGTAAGTAAATGGATGACTATTACTTTTAAAAAGCTTTATTTAAAAAAATTACAATTATACATGAATTAGAAGTACACAACAATCAAAACATATGAGAGACGCAGTTTACATCACCAATAATATCAATGGTTGCATTGTTATTTTTTTGTTTTTGTTTGTAATACATAATTATTGCCACTTTCTTTCGTTATATATTTTAGGTCTGATTCAATAAATGTCTGGCATTTTTGGATTGTAGATAAAAAGACTTCACTGAATTTGTAACTATGAGAACTGTCATTAATTTTTATGCAACTGAATGTATTTAAAAATGAAAAAGAAATCACCCTTGATACACTGCCATGATTGTGCAACACAAGTCCAACAATCCAATAGCTTCACTTGCTCCATCTTGCATACGAAATGCACACAACTGTAAACAAAATTTTAATGAAGAATCAGATTATTTATGCAAGAAGTATAAACATAATCAGATCTGTCATTTTTGAGTATTTTAAGCTGTTGGGTTTAATATATACAAATGGGAAACTCACTCCAAGTTTATCACAAATTGCTGTTTTTTGTTTGTCTGTAAGATCTTTGTTGAGCACGATTAACTCGTGAAGCTGCTCAAGTAACTGCAACAAATTATAACAATATTTATTCAGAATTAGCTTTTTTCATAGTTAAATAATAACAGGAAAAAAACCTCCATAGGTTGTTAATTTGTGGATGAACAGAACAATTTCAGGAACAGTCTTGATATAATGCAAAGATTAGAGAGATACATTCAATGATAAATAATTACAGGCTAGCCACTTATACACTAGGTTTAGATATCTACACACTTGGATTGCTGAGAGATACCAATTAATCTCATCACACACACGTGTCATCTATATACGACATCACAGAACCATTAGGCAGTAATTTCAGTAAGTAACTTTACTGTGGTGATGTTCAAGCTCCCGAATGGATGGTGCCATAACAGCTGATTTATGTCAAAGGGCTGCGTTTAAATCTAAGTATAACTGCAGTTTCCAATACTAATAACACTAGTTTCTGTAAACTATCACATCACCACTTGTTTGCAATTTTGAAAATTATACCTCATATCCAAACAGATTCCTCTCATTCTTTACAACTCACAAAAGTAACTTTATGGCAACTGTCGTCAATATCTATGTAAATTTTGGCTAATGGAATTATTTTAAATTCACATGAAAACAAACTTTCAATTCCAGCCAAGAGAAAAGTATTAACCCATATCACTTAAAAATCAAAACAGTGAACATTCAACTTTAAAAACAAATAACAAAACATTTAATTTCATGTTCTATGGTAAAATATGCTTTATAATAAAGTAAAATTCACCTGAGATGCAGAATAAGCCTCAAGGATCAACTCATCAATAAAACTGACAACCTGATCATAATTGTTGGTTTGGCATACTTGAAGAACACCTTCTACCCATGGATTTGGAACAACCTGTAAAATGATTTCATGTCAATGAACAATCAAGTATACTTACTACACAGAACAAAGCCTTCATTCATCTTAACAATTTTAAGAGAAGAACCTTCAAGTAAATTAATACATTAAAAAAAAATCAGTTTTGTTAACATCATGCAATATGTTTCATGTTTGCTTTAGGTTAGAAAAGATTACATTACATTGCAAGGTTAGTTTCTTTTTGCTAATTTACAAGTATTTACAAATTCCCTTAAGTTGGTGCAGAATGGCATTGCTTATTTCCTACGTTCCCCAATAAGAAAAAATTATTGACAAGTTTTCATGAAATCTATAGAATCATACATTACCATTGCACCTGCAAAAACTGCAAAGTGAAGTGAGTTGAGTGAGGGAAAATGAACCTAAAGAAACAAGTCCTTTTCCAAAATTTTAATGAAACACACTTATTCCTTCAGGTTAATTTTTTCTTATTAAATTAATTAAACATGGCCATTTTTGCAGGTGCAACAGCAAAGTATTGGGAAAGATGATATAATACAACACAGAAAAGAAGGGTAAACAGTGGTACTTCTTACTCCTGTTACTTCAAACACATCCTCTTTGGTTATTTTACTGTCTTTTCCTTTTAATCTTGTGCATGATTGAAGACTTGTGATTGCTCGTCGCAGATCACCATTGCATGTTTTCACGAGACACCGCAACACATCTTCATCACACTGCACATTTTCTTCACTGCTGATGAATTGTAACCTTTCTACTACCCGATCTTCTCCTGTAATTGGGCCAAAATAAATTAAAAAATAAAATGATAAAAAAAATTCTAAATTAAAAAAAAAATCCATACAGAAAAAATTCGTACCCAAAGGTTTAAATCGAAACTTAGAGCATCTTGAAGTAAGAGGTTGAATAATACGACTAACATAGTTGCATATCAAACAGAAACGAGTTGTTTTAGCTTCACGTTCCATTGTTCTTCGCAACGCAGCCTGTGCAGCATGTGTCATTGAATCTGCTTCATCTAATATGATAATTTTAAAAGCAGGACAAGGACGCCCACTGAGTGTGAAACGACTGTTAGAATGTTTTCATTTGAATAATGTACAATATGGAAATAATGGTACTTACTCTGGTCTTATACCACTTGCTGTTAATTGAGCAAAAGTTTTTACTTTGTGTCGAATCACATCAATTCCTCTTTCGTCTGACGCATTTAGCTCAAGGATTCTGTAAAGACACAAATAATAAACAAAACATATCTCCATTAATACAAAAATAAGGCATGCACAGTTACCTGTCTTTATATATGTCTCCAAACAACTGCTTTGCAGCAGCTAATATGGTGCTTGTTTTGCCAGTACCAGGTGGTCCGTAGAAAAGTAAGTTTGGCAAGTCTGCTCCTGACAAACATTGGCGGAGGACTTGGACTACCTCTCCTTGCTCTACAACGTCATCGACGGTGCGTGGGCGACTAAAGAAACATGTATCATTATAATTTGATCAAACTTACTTTCTTCACTTTTCTATATATATAAATATACATCACTCACTATTTTTCTACCCATGGTACTGGTGCTGGCTTCTTTTTGGCACCAGATGATCCTGCTTTGGCGTCTTTAGGACCAGCACTTTGAGGACCTAACTTACCAGTTTTCAAAAAAGCTTGCATCGTACGATATATTAAAAACCTTTCTAACAAACCCCTCAATCCGGCTCACATTCATGTGTCAATTTCGCGCTATTATGAGCAGCTCAGAGAGATCAAAGCAGCTCCTGTAGTGTTGTCTCCCGCGTACGAACGTAGTGCCACAAGTGTAGCAGACAATGACTTACTTGAAAATGTTACTTATATAATAATTTATGGCGCAAATCATAAGCAAAATTAATTTAACTATATTTCTGTAATGAAAGCATGGTCTAATGAACGATGTATATTTTATGTATCTAAGGATTAAATGTTTTGACAGTGTATTGAAATGTAATAAGGTTGGCAGCGTTGTCTCTAAGTGTGGGCATCTTTCTTCTCCGTGGCAGTAGCTTTGTGGAAATAACGCGGGAAGAAAACCGGGCCTGGCGGCAGCTGGCAATGGTGATTTAATTCTGTGTGGTAAAGCCCGACTGCCTCGTCTGCGTTTGGCCAAACTGAATTGAGGTTTTTGACTTCGTTCAAGTGTAACTAACATTCCGAATCATGTCGAAGGTGAAGCCAAGAGATTATGCTGCTGACGCAGGTAAATTGTGGGATTATGTGTGAAATGATGTAGAAAGAGTAGGTTCCAAAATATCCATTCTCCACATCAACAATGTTTATGTGAATTTCAGAACAAATCAAGCGATTCTTGATGGAGTTCGCATCCATTGAAGATGAACGCAAAGATTTCAAGTATGCTAAACAGCTTACTAAGTTGGCTCACAGGGAACAGGTAATCATGGCTGGGATCTAAAAAATCCTTTGTTGCAGGTGTAAGTTTGTACATAATGTTTTAATTTTTGGTTGCAGGTGGCTGTAACCATTGATTTGGATGATCTTTCAGAATTCAATCCTGACTTGGTGGAAATCATTACCAATAATACTCGTAGATATGTTCAAATATTTGGTGATGTCATCTACAACTTGCTGCCACAATACAAAGAAAAAGAGGTAAATGATTTCTTAAGCTAGTATTTATTATGAAATAATGTAAGTGTTGTTTGTATATATTATATACGTTTTTTTCTAAAGGTGGAAATTAGAGATGCATTAGATGTGTACATTAAGCATCGAACGGCATTAGAGCAGCGCAATCGGCAGCCAGGAGAGGAAAGGGACCCACACAATAAGTATCCTCCAGAACTTATGAGAAGATAGTAAGTATGAAGGATGTAGTGTTTGATAAATTGTTCTACCACTCTAATTAAAATTGTGCGATTCAGATCAGTTTTAAATCAGAATTTGTTGAAGTATAATGAAATTCATTGTTTTGTATAAAAGAGCAAACTTATTATTTTGCTCTTCAACATGATAATGGAAAATTCCAGGTGTAGATGTTGCTTTAATGCTTTTAGATTTTTACAACAATTAAATGTATTTTTTCATTTGATTTGTTTACACAAAGTGGCTAAAGCATGGGACACGTTACAATTAAGGAAGTCTTTGAAAGTGACTCTTGGCAGTGCTCAGGTGAGGGGGAAATCCTGGGGGGGGTAAGGGATATTTAGGGTGTTTTGAGAGGAATCTTTTGGTTGGCAGGTGTAAAGTGCAGCATTCGTTACAAAGTATGTAATTATAATAAGCAAGGCATGGTTGATGTAAATAAATTATAAAAATGAAACTACTGAAGTAACATCAATGCATTATGATTGATCAATTTCATTACTACATATGTTAGGGCTGTAATTTCACACCTAGTATCTTAATGGACGCTACCTTTAACTATTTGTAGTGTTGGATGTGAAACTTTGAGCCAATTTTCCAAGTGTTGCATTTTGTCTGTCAGTGCAACTGTGAGGCGGTGATGGTGGTTAGCCATGGCGCTGTCCTTCAATTACGTTTCTTGCACTCTTTTGATTCTCTTTGATTTGCGTTTTTGAGAGTTAAATGGTAGTGTTACTTTGGTTAGAATAAATGTAGGTGTTTTTCACACATTGCACCAAAAGGGTGCAAGAAAATTGTTCGAGTGCTTCAGGATTGGGGCTCGTGAGGTAAGCGATCTATAAGGTTAACCAAGCAAGTTGAGTGATTGTTCCAAGTGGAAGTGTAGTAAGGAAGGAGACACTCTGCATATGCATTCTTGTACGCGTGTCAGAAGTGTTCAGTCTAGCACAATTGAGAAATTTTTGTCATTCCTTGAGGGCATCTCCAAACTTTTTGACACTTAGAGTTTGCCCATTGATAAGTGTGAAGTTACTTTCATTGCTCAGTGTTTTTAGAGGGAGAACTTGATGTGATCCCCGTTCCTTACTCTGCCATTTGGTCCTGTAAGGGTGTACCATGTTCTATGCTTTAACCCACAAAATCATGTTTTCTTGTTGTTAATCCATTTCGTATAGTTGTGAATTATTTTTTTTTGGAAAGGATTGCCTTTTCAGTTTGTAGGTTGCTATTGATTGACTTAATTAGGAATAATTTGAATTTAATTACCATTCCTGGTATATAAGCTAAAGTATTAATTTGCAGTGAAGTGTACTTCAAGGATCTGTCGCTAACGAAACCAGTTCCAATAAGAGATGTGAAGGCAAACCATATTGGCAAGTTGGTGACTGTAAGAGGAGTAGTGACCCGTTGCACTGAAGTGAAACCAATGATGGTGGTGGCAACATACAGTTGTGACCAGTGTGGAGCGGAGACATATCAGCCTGTAAGTGTTAAAGTGTGCAAATTATAATGAATGTTGTATTCTAAGTTATTTCGTGATGTATGGGAAAATTATGGTGAATTTTAATATACAGTTTTTGAAATATTCAAAAGCCTGTTCTGAGTGTTTTGCATTGCAACTGGAAGCACAGGAGCATAAGTAGTAGAAGAGCTCTCTAAAGAAAGTATTATAGGTTTGAAGATTGGTTAGGGGATGAGTTTTATTGAATTATTATTGGAGGTAATGTTTTGAAGCAAAAGTTCTTGCAGAATTGACAGTTATCAGAAAATAAATTTTTTTTCGTTGCATATATACCTGTTCCTAAGAGGGAACCATATTGATAAATGTTTCTTTGCACAAGTAAGGAGTCCAACGACTTTTGATTATACTTCAATTTGTACGATTCTGCCTCAAGCAGGTAGCAGCTGTTGATGGTTTCATCCAATCGCAAGCTTGAATGTCACCATAGTAACGCCATTATGGTGATTTTTCAAGCTCCTGATTGGATGAAACTGTCAACAACTGACACCTGCGAGAGGAAGAGTTGTGAAAATCACAGTACAGTTCTTCAGTTTAGCATTTTCAGTTGTCTGAATGAGCCCCATGTTTTTATATAACACAATATGGTTTCAACCCATCTGATACGACATTTTTCTGGGACGAATATACCGTATTTAATCAAATGTAAGAAATACATTTCATGCTTAATGTACTTAGCCCACAAATTTGTACACATTTTAGAGATGATTGACTCGGATGCTGTCATTGGACGACTCAGATTCCTCACTAGACTCTTTGTTGCTTTTGTGCATTAAAAAGAAGTCATCTTTGCTTCTGTTGTCCAGGGCATTTGACATTGAACACTTTTTAAAAGCTCTTGCAACAACTACTCTAGAAATATTCTCCCAGGCATCATCTATCCAAGTGCACACTTGCAATAGACTAACCCGTTTCATGTGGACGTGGGCATGAGCATTCTGTTTTCTTTGGAGAGCCAGTCTGGCAATGTATCAAATGAAACGTAACGTGAAAACGAATGCTGAGTGTGTTACACGATGCGGGTTTGAAGAGGCCGTGCGGAATCTCGGTTCTACGCCCGGAGAATGCGAATATATGTTTTGAACAGAGGCCATCGAGTGCCGGACAGATAGAAAATCTGGCGACAGAAGGGAATGTTCTTAGATGGCTTCTGATAAAAGACTATGAACAACGCAAATTATGGCGCAAAACTATCTAGAGGGCCTAAAAGTTTGTCCAAAAGGAGCATGGAAGTAGGATCAAAGAGAAAGAAACATTGATATGGTTTTTACCACTACCCTAATAAGTTTCACATGTATTTTCTATATATATATATATATATATATATATATATGTTTAATGTGAAACTATTTTGACGTACCCAAAATAAAATCCTTAAAATTCTGTGAAACAAGATAGAGAATAATTGGAAACAAGTTTGTACAACATATTTGCCTAGCCCATACGAGCATGGAAGTTTTCTTCTTCCTACGCTGACAAAAACATGGTTTTAGGTGTCTGGGATGCATCATTACAGAGTTATGTTTGATGATAATCTGTGTTGCAAAAATCAATGTTTCATGACAACATGTAAACTTCTATTTTTATCTTAAATCTGTTTGATGCAGGCCAGGGGAGCTGTTCCTCATTCAGCAGTTTCAAACTTAAAGTTTTGTGTTGGTTGTTTCTTAGAATTAGTTACAAAAATTGTCTTTTTTCTTCTGTTATAAGAAATAAAAATTTTGCAGGTGGCGTCCTTGAGTTTTATTCCTCTGGATCGTTGCCCAAGTGAAGATTGTCGGGTGAACAAAGCAGGCGGTCGGCTTTATTTGCAGACTCGTGGTTCTAAGTTTATGAAGTTTCAAGAACTGAAAATCCAAGAACATGTAAGTAATTACTGGTAGAAATTTGTCTATTTGAGTAGGCACAATTTTGTAGAAATAGTGACTTCCTTTTTTGTTATGTATTTTTTCTTCCAGAACAAAATTACTGTTAACGTATTTAAGAGTAGTTTTTTTAGAATGAGTAGTGTATTCTTGTTGTTTTCATCATCCTCAAGTATTTTATTTTATTTATTCTTGGCAGACTGATCAAGTGCCTGTTGGCCACATTCCTCGTACCTTAACAGTATTCTGTAGAGGAGAAACAACAAGACAGGCATTACCAGGTGACCATGTGTCAGTTACTGGAATATTCTTACCTCTTCTCAAGAGTGGTTTCCGTCAACTGATATCAGGCTTACTGTCTGAAACATATTTGGAAGCTCATGTGAGTATGCATTTATTTCTTTGTGTATTTTGTAAAGTTAAGATATGCATTAGTTATTCACAAAATCTTCAAAAATAAAACATTACTAATATTTTTAATGTAATTTTTGTTTAATCTCTTTCAAAAATTGACTTTGAATTTTTATGAAATGTTTCTAAAATTCTTCTCTAAGGTCCTGTCAAACATTCGTGAAGGTCCACAAATGTTAAATGTTTCATCACTATTAGTAGTGAAGTTGTGTT